CCCCACAACACGACCTTGGTATTTCTCGGAACAGTTCTCATCTGGACAGGATGGCTTGGGTTCAATGTATGTCTTGCCTTATCCCTCGTTTTCTATTGCTGTCTACCCCTCTAATGGTGAAGGTAGGGTGGATCGAGTCTTAACGCCAGTATGCGTGCTATGGTGGCCGTCTTCAACACCAATACGGCGGGATGCACGGGGATCCTGGGATGGGTCTTAGTCGATATGGTCAAACACAGAGGTAGATTCTCAGTGGTTGGGGCTTGCGAAGGAGCCATTGCCGGTCTCGTGGGGATCACACCAGCTGCCGGCTGTGTTTCTCTTTGGCTCGCAGCTTGTATTGGGTTCATTACCGGCATCGTTTGCTCATCACTCCAGAACATCAATGACTGGCTCAGGATTGATGAGGGCATGGATGTCTTCAAGCTTCATGGGGTGGGTGGCATAGTAGGTGCCTTCTTGACCGGGCTTTTCGCGAGTGAATCTATTTCAGCCCTGGATGGGGCTAGTCTTACTGGCGGAGCTATTGATGGCAACGGAATTCAGGTCGGCAGACAGCTTGCTGAGATTTGTGCTATTGCCGGATACTCTTTTACCGTGTCCTACATCTTGCTCTTCATTCTCAAGTACATCCCTGGGATGCGTCTACGGGTGGATGAAGAATCGGAGATGATGGGTCTCGACCGGGCACAGTTCTTTGACGAACAGATCGGAGACTGGTCGATAGCACATGGCATGAGCAGTCCGATGTTGATGGGGGTGTCAAAAGAGCCAATCGAGTCAAACGATGAGCAAAAAGAGAAGAAACCAGGAGTCTAGCGGCCCTGCAATGAAATATAGCACAGACATGATTCAAATGATTATATAATCTAAAAATATTGTCAGATTTGGGAATAAGCAATGTGACAGGTATGAAAGTAGTACGTACTCCTCGATACTACCTACTATGCACGAGTGCCAATTGTATACGTACATATGTACTCCGTACATCCCAGCAACAGGGTCCAAATACTCCACACCTTGGCGATCTGGGGGTTCAGGAATAGTGTTTCTTAAGGGTTCAATCTTCAATGGAATTCTTCCCCATTGTTTATGGGGTCGGTCGCCGACGGGACGATCACTCGTAGGCCAAACGGTTGGTGCTCCATGTTGAACAACATTCCTGATCTCAAACGTCACGGAGGGGGGAAAAAGGCAAGAAATTCACGAGAGGTGATGACGAATGCTTCGTGCTTGGCTTCTGACCAGTTAGCAAATCCACCAATCAGAAGGGTGGATTCCGCCCTCCCGCATAACAGGGCCGAAGCTTACGTCAAGGCGACAGGGATTTATTTTAGTCCCTTGAAGGTTGTCCTGCAGACCCTTCGATGGATACTATAAAGTCTACCTTTAATTAAATCCGAAATTACGAGGTTTGATTAATACCCACCGATCCCTTCGGTCATATTTATCGTCTAACCTGGAGAGTAAAACTCGAGATGAAAATTCATAATAATATATGCATGTTATGACAATTTATTTCCTCTCTTTTCTTGCTTTTCTTCTTTCAAATAAGTTCATTTCTGACATCTAGGTTGGGTCTACCATTAAATCGTTCAGCCTCCTCCAAAAGTAGTTCAGAAAAAGGCTGGTTCCGACCTTTACCCAAGTAGGAAAACGGCGGGCCTCAGGACCGGAGATCGGCAGCGTCGCGTCCTGTCGCCATCCGTTCCCGTCTTATCGTTACCACCATAGGTTTCCATTCAATGTTACTTCGTTGGCTTTTTTCCGTCTTTTCGTTCCCTCTCTTGTCCCTCTCCAACCTTCCTCAGAGGAACCGGTAATAATCTGAGTTCTTTCTCCTCTTCTTCGTGGTTTTGCCTGCGTCACTTTTCATCTTGCTGTCCGTCAGCAAGGCCATTCGTTTAGTTATTATAATCGACCTCCTTTATCTTTTCGTCTTCGCTAGCCCCGTTTTCGCCGCTTTTTACCCCCGGCCTTATCTCCCCCCGGTTTCAAAGAAAAACTGCGGTACCCCTCGAATGCTCGCCATTGACTGACCTGTACCTCTCCCCTTCCATTCGCTAATCGAACTTGCCTTTCGACTGTCATGCGTGTTGGAGAATCACTATTATAATAATACCTAATCATCAGTTGCAATGGGCAAATGTAATCTTCTTGGTTCCCGTTTTGCTACTATGTTCGCTGGACGCTGACCATGGGGTGACAATCAGGGCACTACGGAGTTGTCCTCGACGCAGGATCGTCTGTAAGTTACCGCATCTCAAAGCGTACGTCTTTTCGCACCTCTAACATCCCATGATAGGGGACGAGAGTCTACGTTTATCGATGGTTGGACAACGCTGTTGCGCGCAAAGGGGCAGATTCGAAAGATCTGCGATCTTTGCCGGAAATTAAAACGAAGCCGGAATGGACCAAAAAGATACATCCAGGTAAAGATTCAACGTTGCAGGATACAACAAACGAAACGCATTCTGACTACCCTACTCTTATAGGAGTGTCTTCATTTGCCGACAGACCGGAAGAAGTTGGATCGCAACATCTCGCAGAACTGCTAAAACACGCTCAAACAATCGTGCCCCCTGATGCGATCAAGGATACCCCGATCTTTCTTCTTGCTACTGCCGGGATGCGATTATTAGGCGATGTGCAACGAAACCTACTCCTGGATCAGATTTGCTCCTATGCGCGTGCTAACTCCGACTTCTTGTTGCCCGATTGTGACGTCCACATCCAAGTTATTCCTGGAGTGACGGAAGGTCTGTATGGATGGATCGCCGCCAACTACCTTCTGGGCAGTTTCAGTGCACCTGAACAGCATGACCATGGTAAAGGCCATCATACTTATGGCTTTTTGGACATGGGAGGAGCATCGGCGCAAATCGCATATGCTCCCAACTCGACAGAGACACAAAAGCATGCCAATGACCTGACTCTACTGCGCCTACGCAATGTGGATGGATCAACGCAAGAGCATAAAGTTTTTGTCACATCTTGGCTTGAGTTTGGCGTGCACGAGGCGCGACGACGCTATCTTGAGTCCATGCAAGCAGCAAGTGCGGTCGATAGCACCAAGGAACTCCCTGACCCTTGTCTTCCCCGTGGCCTTCGAACTACACTTGATGGGAAGCCTTTTACTTCGGAACAAGAAGGCGGAATTCACCTCCTGGGTACCGGAAAATTCGACGAGTGCTTACGGCAAACGTACCCGTTATTAGATAAAGATGCACCCTGCCTGGATCAGCCCTGTCTCCTCCACGGTATTCACGCTCCCGCAATTGATTTTGACGTCAACCATTTCATCGGCATTAGCGAGTATTGGCATACAACGCATGACGTTTTCGAAATGGGCCATAAGGACAAAGCATACGATTTCAACACCTATCAGCAGCGTGTGGAGTCTTTTTGTTCGCAGGACTGGGAAACTATCGCCAAGGGCATAGACGACCATAAATGGAAGAAACTCAACCATGAGAAGGCTTCTGAGGTTTGCTTCAAGGCTTCCTGGATTGTCAATGTGTTGCACAATGGCATCGGAGTTCCACGTGTGGGGTTGGAGGACACAGCAGGTTCGGGACACAATGGCACGCAGGAGGTCATTACACACGCGCAAGAGAAAGGTTACCTCGATCCCTTCCAGGCAGTCAACAAAATCGACTCCACCGAAGTTAGCTGGACCCTAGGCAAGATGGTTTTGTACGCATCCTCCCAGGTTCCTGTGGAGATAGAAGAGAAGACACTACCCGTTGGGTTTGGTAGCAATGTCGCCGGCGTTCCCAACGATTTCCAATATCCTAGCACTGAGTTGCTGCCAAATCCTGAGGGTCTCCATGGCGCGAATTGGCATGACGCTCTTCTCAATGCGAGATCATCCCGCAGAGTTCCAGGACTTGTGCTATTCCTCCTCATCATGGTCATGATGATTTTCTTCCTCTGCGGTCGAAGTCGCCGCTCGCGGATGTTCCACAAGATCAACAACCTCTTCGGAGGGCGGTCCCATCCCAGTTACCCGAAGAAGCGCAAGTTTTTTGGTGGAAAGTTACCATTCTTTGGCCCCAGAAGCCCCTCCTATGAGCGTGTTCTTGAGGATGGTGCCAACGAGTTCGACCTAGGTGGAATTGTCTCCGGACGCAGTTCGCTGGATGTAAACCGCCTGTCGGATAATGAATCGGCAAGCTTCCTGCCGCCCAAGCGAGCATCAAGCTGGGGCAGCCCCACACCCAGTCTGAAATTTGGCCTGGACAATTCTTCAACCGGGACCATTGGACTTGGCATCACCGCTGGCTCCGGTATTAACACCATGGATCGCACAGGTCTAGTGGTGAGGACTGAGAGTCGGGACCATCTCGCCCCTATTGCACTGGGCCCTACGTCAAACGGGCGACGCTCCAGAGCAGGCAGTCCCTCGAGATCCCACCCACATAGATCACCCATCATGACACCGCTGTCGCATGATGATTGATGCTGTTGTATGACTCTTTTTACATTAAAATTCTTCACGTCCCTTATTATTAGCATTATCTCAAGGAGTTTCGGTTTTGTTGCTGGTACGACTTGTCGGGAAAGAACCGCTTTTGTGGCATGGCTCCCGTACCAAATGGTCTGCATTATGGCGGCGATATTTGCGTTGATTACTTCTCAGTGTGATATTTGCAAGGAGCACTTTTGCTCCAAAGTACATAGCTGCTGCTTGCTTCCTTTTCCCGTTCACTTTTGCTTTTCTCCCCAAGTCGTTCATTGGATCTAACTGGGCGATTTATACGTTTTAATGACGCTTCATGTATCAATAGACTTATGCCACCTAGCCTGAACCAGATTCGGCTATTTATACCAAATATTACGCATTTTAATTCAAGTTTTGAATACTCGACAATACCAGTAGTCAATCGACACTTTGTCTTCGCAACTCATACATCATACATATTTGATCACGTGCACGTGTGCTGATTCGTCAACTCACCGCCCTGGCAAAATCCTTCGCGGTACCGCTTCGATAATTTGGTATGCGCAAAGGAGCTCTGGCTGCTCTCCACATACTTTGCTCTTTTCACTGTCAATTTGCTGTCCTTTGGGCGTGATCCGTTGGACTCTGGATTTTTCTATATTACTCGTACTCTTTGCTTCTTCTCAGAACTGCATGATACCCGATAGAACGACACATAAACACGCACCGCCGCAATGCGATTGACCGTCGAGCTTATCCAGAATTCCCTGTCGTACATCAACCCGCTCAAGGATCGCGAATTAGATCTCCGAGGTGCGTTCTACACATCGGTCTGAAAAGGACAGTTACTACACTTTTTGAAGAGCTGGATTGATATCGTTTTTCTTTTGAGTCGTATAGGGCACAAAATACCCGCGATTGAGAACTTGGGTATTGCCAAGGTATGGCCACATTTCCCTCCCAGTCGATCGAGGCAGAGGCTAAGCGTTCTGGCAGGACCAAGATGCAATCGACTTCACAGACAACGATATTTCCACCCTTGGGAATTTCCCTTTCTTTCCCCGCCTCCACACCCTTCTCCTCGCCCGGAATCGAGTCAAGCACATTCAGCCCACGCTCGCAACGTCCGTGCCGAACTTGACCAACCTTGTATTAACATCTAACCATATGACCGAGCTTGCCGACTTGGATCCTCTGCGCAACCTGACGAAGTTGACCCATTTGGTGTTGTTGGAGAACCCTATTACCCGGAAAGAGGTAGGCATTTCATACGCTCCGTCGTTTTGCTTCATTCGGAATACCATAGTAGATCTGCATATGCGGTCTCGCCCCAGCTGATCGATCTAAAAATGGGAGCGCTTACTGATCATCACAGCACTACCGGTATTGGGTCATCTGGAGGATCCCTAGCGTGCGCTTCCTGGACTACCAGAAGGTAAAGGACGCCGAGCGTGAAAAGGCCCAGGAACTCTTCGGAACCACCGAGGAACCGTCGGCACTAGCCTCCAAGATCATGGGCATCAAGTCCCGCACATTCGACGTCCCGTCCGGAAACCTAGCAGACAGAGCACCCGCCGACAAGGCCGTCAGAGTCCAGCTGACCGAGGCCGAGAGAAAACGCGTCGAGAAGATGATCCGCGAAGCAAGGAGCTTACAAGAGATTGCGAGACTGGAAAAGGAATTGAACGAAGGTCGGATACCCGGAGGCGCGCTCGATGCGGTCGAGGACCCGGATCAAATGCAGACGTAATATATACCGAAACGGGCATATCGTTTTTCTTGTTCTTATTATGATGAATTTGGTGCAGAGCTTGTTAGGGATCTTCTTTTGCATGAAAGATGTGATATCTTTCGCGTGTCCAGGCTTCATTTTTTTTCGTTTGATCTTCGGCTCAATACAAAAAAGCTTTCGTTCGGCCGTGGCGGTGTTTGTGGAATGTTTATATTTAGTGGAATCGAAGGCTCTTGTGCTTCTTTGCTTTTTTTGCAGTTTGTTGCCCTGCCTGTTTCGGCGCAGATCGATGGTATGAAGTGACTTGGCGCAGTTCAAAACTGCAACCCAGCTATTGGTATATTACATACGGTTTAGATCGAGGTATTCACAGCTACCAAATTACATAAGATACCTAGCAGCGGCATGACTAGAATAGCGTGTATGTGCAGATGCGAAGTTCGGTGTTGCCGAAGGGCCAATATCACTAAGCATTGTCCAGTTGGTGGGATTTGGTAGGATACGATGCCATTGATCAGATAAGATAACCGGCACGTGCCGACGTTATGTCAACAGTGATTCCCTAGCAATCTTCACTTGTACTATTCAGCTACCTCGCATTGGAATGCAATGCAATCATAGAGATAGTAAATATTGTCACTGAGGTCTATTTACATCGCCCAGTTCCAGCCAATCACCAATCACACCGGTAACTTTAGACAAACCAGCATCCACTGCGCAGTATCCAATTATCTCAACCCCACGTCACATTCAAACTGGCTTCGCGAACCTGCAGGAGGAGAATCTCCTCCCTAGCATCCCACCTCCAGCATACTCCTTCTAGCACAACACCAAAGCTTATCCGGTTTGGATCAACATCTACATCCACAATGGCCCCCCAAGCCCCATGGCGCTCCCTCTTCCAGTCTCATTTGACTCAAAACTCCTCCACTTCCTTTACTCTCTCGACCGTCGGCCACGACTCTCAGAACAGGCCCGTGCCGCGCTCGCGGATCTGTGAGTTTCGTGGTTTCTGGCCGAACCCACAGCTCCATGACAAGGCTGTCAAGGCGCTAAATAGCCAGGGCATTGGTCTGAACCCCGCTGTGTATGAAAGTGATATGATCTCGCTTACGACTGATATTCGGATGGAGAAGGTCGGCCAGCTTGATTCTTCTGGGAACGTTGTCGAGGGTGTCTTCTGGTTGACGGATGTTGGGAACCAGTGGCGCGTGAAAGGGGAGGCGTTTGTGATTGGGGACCCGAAAGGTGGAGCGCATGAGGAGGCAGCTAGGAAGGAGATTCGGACGGGGATGAAGGTAACAGGGACCGATGCGGATGTGAGTGAATGGAGCTGGGAGAGGCAGCTAACGGCTTATTTTGCGAATCATTCGCCTGTTATGAGAGGTTTGTTTGTTCCTTTTTTTTTTTCTGACGAAGAGAGAGGATAAGGCGTTGACTGATTGGTATAGGTTCGTTCAAGAAACCCCCGCCTGGTCAGCCTAGGTCCCAGGAGCCTGCAGACCCAAGCTTGAAATTGGGCCAGGAAGTAGACGATCTTCAGGATTCTGTTGCGCGTGAGAACTTTCGTGTGGTGGTTATTCGTCCAACTGAGGTCGAGCGTCTTGATCTGTCAGACCTTCAGAATGTACGGCGTGTGAGATGGACCTCTGTTCCTGCGGAGAATACCGATGGGCAGGGAGAATGGGTGGAAACGGAACTGTGGCCATGAACGTGGTGGGTGTGTCGGTTGCGCTGTCTTGGTTACTCTCCTGCAAATACTTTATGTAGGATGCTTTGTATGCTATAAAGAGAATGCATACAACGAGGACAATGATAGAACAATCATGTCATGTAAGAACTTCAAATATCACTCTTTCAAGTTATAACAGCAGAAAACGTGGAGAAGGGCAAGTGCAGGATGCGAATGAATTGCTTTGTCTGGGGACAATGAGGCTTGAGCAATCGCGCATTGTTTATACCACTCCAGGACATGGTCTCGTTCGATCCAAACATCAATGGGAGTGTAGCTTGTTCCGGCCGGACACTGCCATGCAACAAAGGAACATAAAGACTTAAGTACATGGCAGGAGTTATGTTCGATGCGAAGAGTCAGCCCTTCTTCAATCTCTTAAAGCGCGCTCTCTTCCTCCGTTCTTTTCCTGAAGCCCTATTTATATTTATACCTTTTCCATAATCGTCCTACCCCCACTTTTTTTTCATTCATTCACACATTCTCTGAGTCCAGAGCTTCCACTTTTCTTCCATCCATCATTCCTCTAGTCTGTTTTGGATCCCTGAGCCATTCTTCAAAGCGATTTGACAAAGGCGTGCATTATCGTCGTAAAAAGAACGCGCGAACAGAGAACCACCCGCAGAAGCACAACGGTTACGAACTCCTCGAATGTCAATTCTCTTTTGATCTTCCCTATCAATCCGTTGATACAACTATTGCGTCACCCTGTTTGGACAGGGCTGTCCAAAGTGCCGCTCCTAATAGATCCTGTGAGAATGGCCAGGCCTTGCAACAACTGCGGCGGTCCGCGCGCCGAAGACGTTCCTGACGACATCGAGTTTTGCGAAAAGTGTACCACGAGCAATGCACCAGTCGCGTCGTTTGATCCCCACGCTGGGTCACCAACTGAATCTAATACCCTGGTGCCAGCCGCTCAGTCTGGTAGTTCCGAGAGAGGTGATAGTCATTCCGGACAAGAGAAGGAAGCTGCTGATCCCGATGAACCCATTCTCGTTCCTGATCCTGGGATGGTCCCGGTGGGCTGTAGTCCATCCCAGATTGAAACGGCTACCGGCGCCGCTGAGCCGATGCCGACAGCTCAGTCAGACAAGGCTTTGAGGGGTGGCAATCGTCTTAAGCGCAAAGCGTCGGCTTTAGGTGTCGGAGAACCAATTCTAGCTGCTGAGCCCGATAATCGTGTGGAGGGTACTGGTCACAAGGGTACTTCAAATGTTGAACAGAGGCAAGATCCTTCTTCGCATGAGGTTTGCAGTATCCCTAGCTCCATCTACTATAGCCCATTCACGCTAATTTGTATCCTAGCAAAAGGTCAGCGCACCGGCACCGAATCCGGCTAAGAAGGTTAAGATGGAGCCGGCATGTGGTTCCTGTAGAAAATCCAAGGTTCGATGTACGCACCGCAAGCCCGTCGTGAACCCAAGAGAAGGTAAATGCTATACCATTAGCCCCATTACTCTGTTCTCGAAGCGCTGCTGAACTTTGTATGTCTTTAGATGCCTTTCAGCCAGAAGCACAGAGACCTATTCAGCCTAAGGAAAGTGACCAACCTGCACAACTCGATCCTACACAGGACGATCCGGAAGAGGCGGCATCCTCAAAAAGAGAAGGCATTAGCCCCAAGAGCCAAGCAGCAGATACACCAATTGGTAAAATCCCTCCAAAGCCGAGGGGTAGACCTCGAAAGCATCCTAAGGAGGTCCAAGCCATAGTTAATGAGGGAAAAGCTGTAGAGGAACCGGAATCCCCACCTCAGCGACCCAGACGTGGGCGTAAGCCTGCCCAGCGCATCGGAACCAGTGCTGAAGGTAAGAGTGGTCAGGCCACTGCCCCCGAGCCAGCAGCTGCAGCAGTTCCGGCTGAAACAATGGCAGCAAATCTCTCGATCGCGTCGAACATGGCTCTAAACAATATCCTGGCAGAAGATTTCCAGGAGACTGTGCGTGAATGTGAAGTGAAGTGGCAGGCGGTGTCGGACTCTTTTGAAGAAGCTATGGACTCCTTCCATGAAGCCAAACGGAAAATAGATACTTGGCTTGGGATGTGGAGGAGGGGGGAAGTCTAGACAAGAATTTATTAGGTTTGTCATGGCCATGTGTATAATTCTGATCCATGTGAAGGAAGAGCTAAGGAGTTGTCAGGTGAATATTGGCCGTACGTATTGTACCTCAGGATATTGTGCAGATCTGTTATCTAACTAGAAGTATAATGTATGACTCAATGCAACATGTTCGCTACTGGGGTTGTTGACTTGGTTTAGTGTACAATAGCATCAGCATAGAAGATGTCTAGTGAATCATTTGACGTTTTATCACTGATATTACATTGCTCTCACATAGAAGGTCAAAGTGAAGTCCATTATATTGTCACCAGTTTCTATGATCTGCACTTTACCCTGCCAATGGCGATGAGTCCGTGGAACCCACATTCTCACCCTATCCACCGGCTGAGTTACATCCTACATGAATGTCAGCACATACTCAGTTTATCAATTCAGAATAGTCTCATTTGATACCTTTCCACGGGTGTAAGACCAAGTAGTCGCGTTGCATTAGGCAAAACTTGTCTGGCACAACTATAGAGTGTAAGCCGTGCAAGCTTCGGCTCGGATTCACTCTGCAAAACAAAGGTGGTCATAGCTTGGATTTATGATATGGGTCAGTTTCCACGAAGATGTGAGCACTGTAACCGGCACCTTATTCTTGAAAGTGGCCTGAAAGACTTCAGGCCACTGTGCCAACTTCTGTACGATGGCGGTTGCATGCTTTTCATGCAACAGTGAGGGGTCGGCCTCCTTGAGGCGCTCAGACGGCATATCAGTCTTGCGGATAATAGAGCACAAACGAGCACACGAGCATTGGAGGTATGGACCCGTATCTCCCTCGAAAGAAGTCATTCGATCCATGTCAAAGGTATAGCCATTAATTCTGGGGTTAGTTAGTACCTCCACATTAGTAAAGAAAGAAATTTGAACGAATCGCTTGGAAGCCATGTCCTGCACCAGGACGGCGGAGATGCCCAGTATATCGGCGATCCTCTCGGGGTCTTTGACCTGCTCATACTTGGTCTGGCCTGCTCTCATAACCTCATGCATCTTCTCTTTGGCATCGCGTAGAATATTACCGAGGAACTTGACGGTTCCCTCGCGAGTACTCATCCCGTGCACCAAGCCGAAGTTGACATGTTCGAGCTTGTCTACAAGATTTTTCTTCCAATCAGCTCAAGGATCTTGATGAGCTGGGCCATGTGAAGATCCTGCTGCGATGCAATAACGTAGATCATTTTGTCATAATGGTATTCTTGGTCTCGTTCGAATACTGCCCCAATATCGCGAGTCATGTAGTTGCTCGTTCCATCCTTCTTGTGCACGATTGCCTTACCTAACTTCTTAGAGTACTTGGTCGGGTCGACGAGGATAACACCGTCCGACCTCTCTGAAACCCCTTTTTCCTTCATCAGCTTTTCGTCTTCCTTCATGCTTTCATCCTCGATCTGAGATTCCCCGGCATATACATCTCAGTAAACCCAACTCCCAAAACACCATATTGCTTCCCCCAATCGCCAGGATAACTCATTCTAGTCACCTCCCACCCAGCCTCTTCATAAAGGTTAACAATAACCCCCCCGATAATAGTACGCCGCAAGTGTCCAGCATGAAAGGGCTTGGCAATACTCAGGGACCCGAACTCGACGATGATTCTCTTGCGACCTGCATCTGGGTTGCTTGAGTCATGAAGGCCAAGTCGATGGTCGGATCCATAGTTATCCTTGTTCTCCAGTATCAATGGTAAGGTGTGATTCTGGGAACTGCTAGTAGAAGGGGGCTATTACTGGCCATGATTCAGTAGGATGGTTGGGGTTATAGTAGAGATAAACTTGCGGTTTTGTGGATTAGGTCGGCGATATCTTCCGGTTTCTTGGGATTTATCCTGAGGTCTGGGATGGGGAGGGCGAGGTCTCCCTTTTCGGGGCTTTGGGGGCGCTGGAAGGCGTGGTATATAAGGGTTGAATCTGTGTTTTAGGGGAAAAGATAGATGGCTTAGGATGTGTGTACAGTAGATGTGGAGTGGGTTGGAGGTTGAGGGTTGGTCTGTGTTTACCATTTTTGAGGCTCGTTGGGGATTGGATTTAGAGTTTTCATGGCTTATTTATTGAGGTCTTGGGATAGCTATACAGATGTTGGGCTCTCATAATGAGTCATTTCATAAAGGGACACGGAGAAACCCACGGTGTCTATGAGGTGGTTAGTTGATGTTTGTACTACAGACGATGTATCCACAGCGAATGATGAGGTTTAGATGGTGGTTCTGGGGTTATTGCAACGAATTGGGAGTAGGAATCAGTTACTAGAAGGGTACCACTTGAAACTAGTGTGTCCTTGTCTGGGTAGGCTATGGCTGGCCAAAAGTTATTGGGATGTTTCTCTTGTTGGGTTTACCATGATTTTTAGGGCAACTCGAATATATATTTCTTTGCAGTGAGAACACATAGTTACTAGGTATACTCTCGACCGTACAGTAACAGCATAGTATATAAAGTAGAGAGCACAAACTAATAAACATCACTCCTAGAACTATTCACCATACTAAGACCCCAGAATGGCTTCCGCCATATGAGGTTGTCGAGACAACAACTCCACCGAAGGGTCATGGAAGCGGCCAATGCGTCTGCTGTCCTGTCCGACCACTGGATAAGAGAAAGGACTGTATAGATCATCAAAGATCTACCGTAGTATTTCTGAGCTCATTTCTAGTATTTAGTTAGATCTTAGACATAGCTGCTGGGTTTATTTCATATAATAGATAGTTAGAGCCATGGAATGATCGAGTAATACTGATTATGAGATTATATGCATTGCATTCATAAATCTAAAGTATCTAACTGAATAACATCCAACGGGGCGGTAGCTCAGTGGTAGAGTGGAAGATTGCAATGAATACCTGGTTAACCAAGTATTGCAACCTATCTTTAGGTCGCCGGTTCGAACCCGGCCCGTCCCTCATTTCTTCCTTCTTTTTTATTTTTCTTTTTGCACACTCAATAAATTTATAATAAATATACCTACCCCCTCTATTTCGTTTTTCATATGTAAGTTAAGTTCAGCTTGTTTGTGTGTCAAACCGTAAGGGTACTCGACCACACTCGTCGGCCAAGATCATAGTGATCCTGGTGATTAAGTCGTCAGCAATCTTCACCTGCTGACCGAATCACTTGTATTGTATCGCACCGTGCAGTAACAATTACTGCATGGTCTATCCTTGAATTACATTTCATATCTATCTATGATTTATTATTCCCAATACAAATATGCACATGGTACAAGCTGTCCAATTCTCGGGATATTCTGAACCATCAGCTCTGATTGACTTGTAACTCTGGTCCTCAGCATACATAGCACAAACTTCTATATAAGTAAGTTACTGCTCATTTCTCAGCCAAGTATGTACAATATCTTCAAACAGGCTCGTACCCAGGGGTAACAGACACCAATTTCTTATAGGTCAGACAGTTAGTTCACTTTGACCTTAAAAATATGAATAACAGAGGCTATACCTTTAGATTTCTCTGGGCACTAATTACCTATGTCGTGAGTAGAATGACAAAAGTCCATATTATAAGCTCAGAGATCCAGGAAGCCAGTGTTTGAATCCTCTTTGATCGCAGTTGGGTTTCTTTTTTGGTTGGTGCTGAGTACTACAAAATTAATAGTTTAAGGAAATGGATTTAAGGAAAAGTCTTTATTCTGTGGTTTAGAATCCCCGGAAATTATTCGAGAATCAGAAGAGATTAATTTGAATATAATAGTGTTTTTACTTAGAAGATATCAGAGTAGTCTAGTTAGAGTATTGATTGTCTCAAGCTAGTCTTCCTTCAATGACAGATTATAGCCTTGTGTGAATTGTATCTCGATAGTTTCATCTTCTATACAGCTTTTTAGATGTGCTTACAAAATTAACTTACATCCCAACGCTGGTTGACGGTAAAATGGCGGCCAAAAACGGCAGTCCGTCGGTGCCGTTTCAAGCACGCGCCCAATAGTAGCGCTCAAAATATCGACTGTATAACTATGATATGGTCAGGATACCGAATTTTTCTCTCTAAATAAAAAAGAGTTTAATCCCCCAAAACTAATACTAATTTTTTTTTTCTAGCCCACAGGCACTAATTTCTGACCCCCTCATAACTGTAACCCCTTCTAGACCTCACAGGTTACCCCTCGCCCAGCAATACCGATATTCGTGTTGGCCCATTGAAGGGGAAAATTGCACTGTGGGAAGATTCCACGAAGGACAAGAAACGTTTTGGAGCGCGACTGATCACACGCGAATTGCGCGACGGAGGGTAAGAATCCTGGGTAATTAGGCGGTCCCATTCTCACCTCTTTTCCAATTAACCTAATATGTGCGTGCGTGTAGACATTCTCTAACGCCTTATTTACTTGCTCTGCCAGTCCTGCTTGATGAGGTCCGCTGCCCTTTCCGCGAATGCGTACACAGTGGCTTGCAGATTCGCCGTGCTTACCAGCGGGATAGCACTCGCATCTACAACCCTCAGTCCTTCGATATCATGGACCCTCAAATTGGAATCCACCACTCCGTCTCTCTCGCGTGGCAGCATGGAACACGTCCCCGCAAAGTGCCACATGGAGACTAAATTCTCCCGAGCATACTTCTTTGCGGCATCTAAGTCTCCCTGGAAGTCTGCAGCTGGGTCACGGAATTTCAGTGGCTGTTCGAGCAGCTCCCCCAGCTGAGGTGACTCTGCTAAGTTCTTGACACCGAGCAAGTGCCGTGCTATGACTTCCAGATCGAGAGGATTCGACAGGTAACCAGGATCAATGATTGGAGGAGTTTCAGGATTGATGGAGGCACTTGAGTTCTTTTTGTCAGATTTGGTGAATATACGGTTTGTTGTGGGGACCCATGTAAAGAATCAGGAGTAAAGAACATCTCACAATCTCTAGCAGGCAAGAAGAAAACAAAAAGATCCACTCACATATGAACGCTTCCGCGGGAAAGCGGTTGAGAGAGCATTACTCCAAGCGTGACGAACTTTCCCGGCGAAGCAGCTGGGATCGTCTCATCATTGAGGTCTTTGGCATAATTCGTCTGCCCTAAGGCGGACAGGTACGCAGCTGATGGTTGCTTGGAATCAAGAACCGTGGTCTTCGCGATGTTGTAATAGGCTCGTGTCGCCCTGTGCTCTTGTGATACTTCGGGGGCGTGGTTTGTAAATAATGCCTGGAGAGCACTTCGGTCCGGTGCAGAAAGAGGCAAATAGGCGTAAGTGTGAACCCCGAGTGAAGCCAGGGGTCCAGACTGCGTGGCAGTGTATTCCTGCATTGCTTGACCGAGGGCTTCAGGCTCTTGTCTGACCAGAGAGTCCTTAGTCTCCAGTTCAGCCTTTGCTTGAAATGCGGTGTACGATACCAGATGATCTAGAAGTAGTAGATGTTAGCTTAAATCCGTTCCAAAGCGAGTATGTGTCAAAAAGGGAGATGGTTTCACGGCATTTCAGAGCCATATTAAGATCAACAACACAAAGGTTTTGAATGTGCTAGATTGGAAGCCGTTAACATACCCTGAAGATTCTGCCCAACTCCAGGAAGGTTCACGACTATATCAATGCCATGCCTCTCAAGAAGTTCTGCTCCCCCAACTCCAGAAAGTTGGAGGATTTTGGGAGATTGAAAAGCGCCAGCAGCAAGTATAACTTCGCTCCTTGCCTGAACAGTCTTTGAGGCACCATCGAGACTGTATTGGACGCCAATAGATCTGGGAGGCTTGCTTTTGTCAAACAAGACTCTCTCAACAAATGAATTCGTAAGAACGTGAAGATTTTGTCGAAGCTCAACAGGCTTATAGTAGGCCGAGGCGGAGTTGCTTCTCCTGCCCTCCGAGTCGATGCTAGCAAGGCAACTGAATGAGCCTACAGAGCTGTGGATAAACGGATCTCCGGCGTTGTATTGTCGTCTACTACGGAACAACTCGGCCCATGCCTTGCGAATAGGGTGCGTCTGGTTGCCAAACGATGTTTGGATCGGACCTTTCGTTTCGTTCAATTCAGGCCAGTCCTCAATTGCCAGACCTTCTTTGGCATCCTGTGCTACAGTTGGACTGCTATAGGCCTTGGAGAGATAGTCCTTTAACATGGACCAATTCCATCCGGGGTTACCAAGCGCCTCCCATGAGTCAACAACACTCTTGAAAGGAGGAACAAAGACGTGTGCATTTAATGAACTGGATCCTCCGAGTGCCTTGCCCTGGTTGAGACCAAGCACTCTGCCATTGAGGCCCGGCTGGAAAAGCAATGAGTAAGCCCACACCCTTTATCGAGACAGAGACGGTCCTTACCTGAGGGGAAGAGTGGAATTTCCAATCGGCGTCGGATCCAAGTAGTGCGGCATAAAAGGTGGGAATGTTCACGCGGGGATCTGCTGTCAAGTCGGCACCTGCTTCGAGAACCAGGACGGATGTGCTGGGGTCCTCGCTGAGTCGAGAAGCAACCACAAGACCAGCGGTACCGCCGCCAATAACGACAAAGTCATATACAGCAGCCATTTTGTATTGTGCGCAGACTTGGTGCAAGATTGGACAAAAATATAAAAAAAAAAATCGAGCTGCGAGCGTAGCAAGTGACTTGTTGAAAAGAAAAGAGAGACCCGTGGGCGGGAAATACATATAGATATTGGTAATAGCCGAATTATCTCCCAGTATTATAATAGTAAACAAAGAAACAGATCAAGAGTACCGCCCAAAAGTACTGGATCGACAGGTCCCCTCCTCAATGCAGTTTAGCACGTGTGACATTGCCATGGCCCCATTTCATACTCCCAGCTTCTGCCCCACGCCAATTTTTAACTAACCCCCCGGGCAGCGTATAGATTCACGAGACACTAAGTTGAGGTAAGCGGGGCTTTCAATCTGACTGCAGGCCTAGGGCTGGCGGGAAGGATGTAACCACGATGATCCCGTTGGGTCACCACCAGGGTTACAGTTCTGTACAGTATAGACAATATTATCTAGATCCTAAAATAGAAAAACCTTCGGCATTACCTCTATTCTGTATTACATTATATAAGTAAAGGTAACAAATCGCTCTTCTGGTAGACTAATTTCTGAAGTCGACTTTCTCAGACATTATCTACTATTTTTCATTACTCTGATTTCTAGCTATAATAGGGTAGGTACTTATTTTATCTTTGGGTTTGTTGAGAGGAGGTGCCCACAGTCTCACGGACAAATTGCTAAGAAGGAGATGTTTAGTGTCAGCTCCATGTATGATACTAGTACTTCTTGCGAAAGGTAGGATTTAAAACAACTAATAGCGTCATTCAGCTTGGTTCTTAACTAGCTAAAGAATACCGCTTCCTTATTCGCCCAAGGTTGCTAGTAGATCTAAAGCTTCCTGTCATATCCAGGGCCAGTATTCGTTTAGAGCGTACTCTTTCACCCTGTACTACAAGTCACGCAATTTTAGAATACCGTATGTGGATCGGATGTCAACAAGTACAGAACTAATTAGGCCAACAACATGCTGTCTCGTGTTTAGTAGCCTGCAACTTGGTATGTAATATGGAAGAATATCTTACCACTTCGTTTCCAACTCGGTAGGCAATGTAGGTAAACCAGTCATGACCGATAACAGTATAACCGACAGTAGGGAGCAGCCAATCGGTCGGATTCAATGGCCCTTTGACCAACTTACCTAAGTGGACTAGCCTTTCAAGATTTGCACTTAACCAGATTACAAGTTGGGCGAGTGTCTTCTTCTTTCCACCATCGTCGGCTTTAACTTCTATACCAGAGAACAGTATAGTCCGCTTGGTAAAGGCATCGGTTATGTGACTAATCTTATAACCGGGACCACCCAAATTAACTCTCTGGTAAAGGTCGCAGACTTCTGGGTCGCGACAGGAGAACGAAAAAGAATAATCCGCCTTTTTATTAATCCGGGTTAGATTATTCCTTACTATAGGGAGTAGATCTTCATCAATCTGTTGTGATTGTCTAAGATTATACAGTTAGCAATTTATGTCTAGACAGGCGTTACCTATACTTACACATTAGTTAATTGTAGTTTGGATTCGTCTTTCAGTAATAAACGAAGAATAGGCTGAACGACGTCTAGGCACCAAGTATTCTTATCTTTTCTATATATATCACAATATCTAGCTTCGAGGCGTATTTCCTCAAGTTCGCTCTATATAGCATCGAGGATAGCGTCTGACATATGTGTGGAGTCGAAGTATGCAGTGTCGGAAATATCTTCGGCACCGGCTGGGTCAGATGCGCGTATTCAAGACTAACTGATAATCAGTAGTAATAGTACAAAGGATACCAGATATCAGTATCCCAAGGCCTCTGGGAATAACTTTTTGGCCAAATCTATCTGTAAGATACTTTTGTAGTAACAAGACAGTATTTGATATAAAGTCTGAGATCTGAGACTTGTATATAATCGCGGGCTTTGCTACACAAAGTTAATTAAAAATATTGTATATAGGGCTAACATAACATAATATATTAGATATACTAGAGCGAATCTTCGTACAGTCAGAAATCGATATTTCTGAAGTAACCAATATTCTTTAGTCAGTATCGTCTATATCGGTTCATTACTGTTTCGAGAGACTAGATTGCCGAGAAGATATACATAATACTCGTTTCTTTCTCTCCACTTAAGACAGAGAGCTAGTTAAATTTGAGGATAGTGAATCCTCAGGTCGAATAGACTGTAACGTATCAGGGAGCTTCTCCAGCCAGCTTTCAATATTTATCAGCTAAGTATTGTATATGATTACTGTATCGATTAAAGATATCAACAGAAGTGTGTCTCGATGAGAGAATGAATACTGATCACGAGACAAAAGCTTAAGTAATAAAACCGAGCTCAGTTGCCTTGGCTTAGATAAATGATGTAGTGGATAAAAGGAACGTCAGCTGGTCAAACCAAGGCGAGTTTATTGGGTGAGGGTGAACTTCAGGTAAAAGAAGGGTGGTGAACAAAGTATCAGAAGGGCAAAAATAGCAAAAATAAAAAGAAAAACATACAACAGGAGGGATTCGCTGGTGGTCACCCACCCAACTACTAACCTCCCGGCGTGTGGCTTAAGTACGGCTGAGCGGACGGGAAGCCCTGTTCTCCACACCCTATGGTCGTATGTACTGGATTGCATGGGTATTGAGAATAGTAAATGGTTTTTTGAGAGCGTCAGCATGACAAATGCAATTCAACCACTAGATATAGTATGACCTGCCAACGTCGGCCACTCCGAGTGCCCTAAAGCTTCACCCCTGCCGGATGAACGTGCCCCAACCCCAGACAGCCAATAAATAGGAGAGTTGCGGGGAAGCTAATGTACTACTACTAAGCAGGCCCAGGCTGGGGGTCTCGCATAAGACGTTAGCTATCACCACCTTTCCATTCTATCGCTATCAGATCCCCGTCGTTGCCTCGTCATCCTCTCACTCATCATGCCGCCGCACTACAAGATAGCTGTCATTCAGCTGTATGTCAAAGTAAGTCTTGAATGGCTTGCGTCAATTAGAATCTCCATACCCAACCTTAACCCTTGTTCGAGCTGGTGGGGTCGTGGATATGTCTAATACCGTGTGCTTCTAGCCCCTCAAACCGGCCGACAACTTCGCCCGGGCGGTGCAATTCATCCGCGAGGCCGCTGCCCAGGGTTGTCATTTGGCCGTGTTGCCAGAATTCCACTTGACGAACTGGATTCCGACCGATCCGAGATTTGCCGCCTTGTGTGATGACTGGGAGAACTACGTGCATCGGTATCAGGCGCTAGCCAAAGAGTGCAATATCTGTATTGTACCGGGGTCCATCGTGCGTCCTGTACCAGCATCTCCACAAGCAACATCGGCCTCATCCACAGAACCCGCCAGCAAACCCACCCCAGCCTTGGAGAATGTCGCCTTCTTCATCTCCAACACAGGCGAGATCCTGGGCTCCTACGTGAAAAAGAATCTTTGGGGTCCTACCGAGCGAACGTATCTTCGCTCCTCCGGCGACAGCCCGCACCAAGTCATCTCAACCCCCTTGGGCCCTGTAGGCCTCCTCGTGTGCTGGGATCTGGCCTTTCCTGAAGCCTGGAGAGAACTGGTATCCCAGGGAGCCAAGATCATCATCGTGCCAACCTTGTGGACCCGCAGCGGAGCCTCCGAGGCTGGCCATCGTCAGAACCCATCAGCGCCATCCCTATTTCTCGATAGTATTCTGACCGCGCGCACCTTTGAAAATACTTGCGCGGTGGTCTTCGCCAATGCAGGTGGGCCACCAGGCAGGAACTACTGTGGCCTTTCCCAAATCAACATCCCCTATGCTGGTCCGCTGGTTCGTTTGGGCACTTCCGCCGAAGGCATGGCCGTCGCCACTCTGGATTTAGCGGTGCTAGAGGAAGCGGAAGCAAACTATGCTATCCGGAAGGATCTAACAGACCCTTCCTGGCATTACAGACACACCCAAAGAATTCCTGCCGAGCCTTCGAAAGGGAAATTATAGATCAGTCAACAGATCAGATGTAGACCTTGTTTCAACCAACTACCTATAGATATTTCCTTGTGTTGGAATGTGAGGAATGATGCTGGGAGCGTCAAGTGAGGAGGGTGTTTCATAATTCTTGGAACTAACAACATCCCGGGCTGTGGCTACGCGCTTCAGAGGGGAGGAGAAACAAAGAATCAGGAGAAAGAGGCGCATAGTGCTTGTCCTGATGGGCCTTGGTAAGGGTTGGTCTGGGCTGTATCATGACGAGACATAGTGATACCATGTAACAGTCCCACTAGCCGAAATTACGAACCCTTACCATACCAGCCCTAATATTTGTCTATATGCCATGATGCTACCTTCGCAGCTTTCAATCGGATGACCCTATCTGATGGAGGATATTCTGATCCCGATTAGCATCATGACACCTGAGGCAGGTCCTTACACCGTGCACCCATTACTTCGTTCTTCCTTTATTGTCGTCTTCTGGACGGTTGCAAGCGTTGCTATTCAGAGAACGGTGATACCTTAATTCATGATAGAGCATCAAAATCGACCATTGTTATTTAGGGTTGTGCAAGTTAAGTCACACCAACCATTGGTTGCGTTTGGCTAACTAAATATTTACCACCTCTTTTATCGTAACCTGTAAACAATAGAGAATTATATTCTGTTTGCCCCAGACTATCCACTTGATATAGCGTGTTGTGAGTGGTAGAACATAATGCAATCACTGATTTTTTGCTGCCTCAATAATACCCTCTCGGTTTCATTACTGAGATTGCCAGATATTGCCAATGCTTACGGCCGCGATAAGACTGAACCCCGGCGACTGTATTGATAAAATAATGCTCCAGACCAAGAAAGGTGACAATTAAAAATGGAATGTAGGCGATCAAGTAGAAGCCAAAGTGGCGGGTTCCACCGAGAAGAAGCCGATATCCAATTCTCGATTCGAGTGGCTGATAGTACGACTGCAGCTTCGGGTTACTGTTGACCACGGGCTGTCGGTCAGATTCTGAGGCCATGGCTAGGGAAATGCAGGGGGATAGTGTGATACTGTTGGTTCTAATATTATTACACTTGATTGATCATGAGATTCAGAAGGGTGAGCATGTATAGTAGAAGGAATGTTATTTTCGAAGTTGAGGAAAAAAAATGATGACTTTTCACACTTTCCTGAGAGCCGTAAACAATACGGGAGTACAACAGGGAGGTCTATTTCATTGCCCCTTATATAGTCACGCCGTGACATTAAGCGTGCATTGAGTTATCTAGCTCACCTGTGCTCATCTTATGGTCGTATGTCCTGATTTCCTAGTTGTAGAGAAAGACATTGTAGGGAAAAACATAGGAATCCTGGAATAAGTTATCACTATAAGAGAGAAATAACTGGTGCATGTTCTCATGTGCCATAAACCACTCAACGGCAAGCTGTAACAATGAACATCTTGAATATCTCTGGAATTCCTCGTGCGGCCACATAGGTAACCATGAATCCTTTAGTTTCCAGCAATAGTTTCACCTTGTCGAGACCTCCCTTCAGATTACTCACTTCTATCACGATATTTCGCACTTTGTCCCAATCCGCATCGTCAATCCCACCTAGCACCTCAGACTCCGTGCCCTCGACGTCAATCTTGAGCAGGTCAATCACCTCAACATTGCTGTGGTATTGACTCAGGAAATACGAAAGTCGGTTAACCGGAACCATGATCTCTTTAGCGTCCTTGAACATATCATCCCCAAACGTCTCCTCGTAGTTCTCCTTGAAGAGCTGGATCTGACATTCTTTCTCTTCGATATTCAAAGTAGAGTTACCAGGCATGTTCGGAAAGTACGTGAACGCTGCAGAACGGGCCTCTGTGCCAAGTGCGTACGGATACGCCGTGACGGTAGACACCATATGGAAAGCTAAGTTCCGGTTCAACGCCTCGAAGTTTTCTGGTGCCGGCTCGAAGGCGATGATATTGGAGAGGGGGTACTTCTCCTTCATGTAGAGAGAGAAAAGGCCGATATTGGCTCCCACGTCAACGATAAATGGGTCCTTGGACAGCTCGACTCTATCGTACTCGCGGTCTTCGAATATCTCGTTGTATATGAACCTGGCTTCTTTCTCTCCTCTGGTGTAGCAGAAGAATTTGTCTGAGAGTTGTACGAGACGGAGTGTCATTTTGATCTGCCAAAGTACCAATCCGGTGGATATTGAAGGAATAGTATTTGCTTAGATATGAGAGTTAGAAAGAGGATTTGTGTACTAGTTGCAAATGGAAAATTGTCTGAATTGGTCTTTTTATGAAGCTGAAGAGGAATAGACAACTGATATACGCAAAGAGTGAGTGCCCCGCCTTCACTTATAAAGTCTGGTATGGCTTGTTACACAGGATATGGGATTGAGGAGCTGCATTCCCTCCATGGCACAGAATCATTGCCTCGGATGCACAGTGTTCCAACTCACATCTGCTTAGCTCACAAAAGGAAAAGCCGCGGCTTTGAGCCTATAGAATATCACTACATTAAAACCAAACCAGGTAATATGGAGATTGATTATCATTAAGACTACCTGCCAACCGATAGTGATTCATGCAAGTGTGAATCCACAGTTGCAGACCCCCGATGGATATGATACAAGGCCTTATTCACTTCGATAATTGGGAATTCGTATTCAGATCTAAATGGACAGACTTCACCATCCAGGATACACAAGAGATAATCCACTGATCCATATATTTTGCACAGCTATTTGTATCAGTCAAGATGGCAATTAACAGTCAGTAACTCCAGTGGGCTCTTGACAACACTATGCGGTCACACAATAATGCATACATGAATGCCCGACGTCTCTGCCCAGCTCTGTTCCCTCATATTCTCTCCTCCATGCTCTGCATATGGTGGTGCCCTACCTCCCACTCTTGTGTAATATTTAATCTTTTTGGTGTTCCGAGTCTCTATTGTTATGGCACCTACCCAGTATAGTCATTTTGGACCTAAGAAAAAAAAAAAGAAAACGGATTGGCACAAGTAATAGCAATGGTAAAAGCGTAGCCTTTCGAGGCTTTGTTTTCTAGAAATTACTATATACAGTATCCTTCGCATAGACTAAAACTGCCATGATGCTCACTGAGATGGCGAGATAAAAGCCCTCCTTTTCTCCGTGAGGTAATGCAAAGCTATCCACTGCCTGACTTAGGAATAAATCACATCAACAGTGTCCTATGGGTGTGCCACGGATATCGAGGAGGGTAGTACGTCACCTGATTAAAATAGGACTAATAAACTCTAGCCTATTCTCTATTTATTTAATATTTCGTGCACTATCCTGTGGCCTACAGTGAATAGCTTACATATTCTCTACAGGAAGATTTACATCAATGTAGTGGCACTGTTGTAGTATATGTAATAACTTCAACTAGGTACTAACAAACATTCAAGATACAACTTTTATCTTAAAAAGAAGAGTAAAAAAAGACCAAGCTTTTACGATCAACCCAATCAAACTCATTTTATGTCCAAATCTAAGCTTTCGGGAGGAATTCAAGATTTGTCGATCACCCGAATAATTCAAATTTAATCATCATGATGCATGAACCCTATGATGTCACCGTTCAGATCTGAGATCTAATTATGTCATTCCTACTTCTAACCCTAGAACATGATAAAGGGAAAGAAATATCTTATTCATTCGACCTAATCAGATAAATTTTCAATTGACTTGTCCCCATAAGTCCAATCGTCCAATTGTCCAATATGCCCGCCAAAGACGACAAATATACCGACCCCGAACTGCGGGAACAGGTCAAGGAAGAAGTCAAACAGAGTGATAAAGGTGGAAAGCCTGGCCAGTGGTCTGCTAGGAAGGTGGGTTTCTTTCTTTCTTCTACCTCTCTGTTCTTCATTTTATTCATGTGGTGAGAACGTGTATTTATATAGCCTGTGAATTAGGCCCAGTTTATGGCGTCGGAATACAAAAAGCGCGGTGGAGACTATACTACATCAAAGCAAGAAGGACAAGATGAGTCCCAGAAGAGCCTTGAAAAATGGGGCAAAGAAGAGTGGCAAACGAAAGAAGGATCAGGCACCGCGAAACAGGAGGATGGGACGAGGAAGCGATATTTGCCTAAGAAAGCATGGGAGAAGATGAGTGAGAAGGAGAAGGAGGAGACTGATAAGAAGAAACAGAAGGAGTCTAGAAAGGGCAAGCAATTTGTGTCTAACACTAGTAAGGCAAAGAAGGAGAGGAAACAAGCTGCGGAAGAAAGTAAGGGTGAGGATCAACAGGAGTCTGAAAATGAAGACTCTGGGTCAGGCGAAGATGAACCTGAGGGATCAGAGGGATCAGATGAAGTTAATGAAATCGATAACGAGGAGGAGCAAGAAGAAGAAGAGGAGGAGGAGGAGGAGGAGGAGGAGGAGGAGGAACAACAGAATAGCGAACCTAAAGGTCAGAATGATCATGATACTGAGACCGGGAAGAAGCGCACCGCAAGCCAGGAGGCGGGAGCAAATAAGAAACCCAAGACACGCCAGGACAGTAAGTCAGAGCGTGAGCAAGAAGACTAGTCTGAGCTCCGATACCTCTGAACACCCCACGCTAATTTCTGCTTGAGGATTCTTACTCTACATATACGAGAGCTGTACGATGTATTTAGCATGAAAAACCAGCCAACTGAGTGCGATGCTTTATGTATTTACGTTAATCAACCTTCAGCCTCCAACCCTAACCGCAGATCCACACTTGCGAAAGGCCCCAGTCAAATATTCACAAGGAGTATAAAGTTACGGAGCACTCACGGTCCAAAGTCAAATCCTGAAACGTAGAGTGAAGAATAATACTCGAGGGGAAGAACTAGGTTATGAAGTCTTACACCATCGATATCAAAATTAAATCTAAACTATATCCCACTTAGATCACCGAGGCCATGTTGTCTCGGTCAATGCGTCTGAACTATTAGTAATTGGCCGACTCTCCACATCCTGCTGGATCGCAGTATGCACGGTGATTCCGCGAAGTTCAACATCCGAACTACGTCTCCCACTAGGGTCCGTAGATACCACCACGCTCTTGCTTGTCCTTAGACCATGGGGATCGCTGATTTTATGGAATCCATCGGGGTCTTGGCTTAGCCGGTTGAGGTAACGCGGTGTGCGTAACGAACGGGTCGATTGGGCTTTGACCTTTCCAAGAAACCTGTGCACGAGGGGTTTGAAAAGAGGAAGACAGCCACAAATTATAGCGACATTAAGTTCTAGGGCGGTCCAAATGGACTCTTTAGCGCTGGATGCTAGAAGAAATTAGTCGAGGCGACTGGGAGGTAGGGTATAGAACCTACAAGCGAGGTCATTGGTGTGAAAGTGGTTGAACTCAATCACACGTAGCAAGCTGAAAATGCATACCCTAAGATGATCAGTTCACACGTCGGTCATTAAGATCTACTCGCTTTGAGGACACGTACAATGCACCCAGCGAGAAGACTATTGTCAGCCCAATCTTCTGCTGGACTGTGATTCGCAACCGCCAGACCACCGGCATTGGCAAAAGCAAAATAATCACGTCTTCTATCAAGGACAAGCAAGCCGATGTCTGGAATAGTTTTGTCTGTCCAGGCATACAATGGCCGTTTAGTGTGGTGTCATAGTAGTACTGGACTGGGTGACATTGAAAAATATTCCCCATGAGCTCGGTAAAGGCCCACATCATGGTGAAGACAATTAGACAAATCACTCCCACACGAACCACCTTCACGGTGCCTAGCAGTCGCTTGAGGAAGACTAGAATGGATATTTTCACAAATGCCATGGATGGCGCCCAGAATTTCTGGATCATCCAAGAGCCCTAGAAGATAGGTTGGTGAAGTCGAGCTATCAGAATGCCGAGTCGCGACTTACAAATTGCAGGCGAATACGTTCGTCCTGCGGAAGTTCATTTCCTGGAACTCCTACACCATTGAAGGCAGCTATGGACACGGCAGTGAGCAAGAGAAATCGGTGAGCATTCTATACTCACTGTAGATAACAAAAGCCGTGACCCCGTACGAAAGAATCAGGCCAATACCCATCAACAAATCCTCTAGCCGCCACCCGACCGTAGACATCCGGCATGCAATCAGACGCAGGACATATATGAGAGTCGCAAGCGCTGCCCCGACCGTGGGGACGACTGCGACGACATTCCCCCAGTATTGGTTCCGAATAGCCATGGAGCATCAGTGCATCACGGCTATGGACAGTCGGTCTCGCAGCGATTGATCGCTTGGACTCAGGTTGCAGACTTCGGTCGTACATCTTTTTTTCAGAGAGAAGGCTCGTGTCAGCAAACAGCCCTGCATGACAAGGAATGTCCGAAATAAGCACCAATGCAACCTCAGTCAGGGTTTCGACTCCATATGCAATGACACTAAACTAGGCCGGGGAATGAGCCGTGCCGATCCACATCCGAGTATTCCATTCCACTCACTCACTCTTAAGCCCCCAAAAATAACCCTTCCCTGGTCGTAAAAGTTTCTCTCGGCATGTTTTTGTTGCTTGCTTTTTCTCTGTTGAAACATGGCGCCTTCGGTTTCTAAGACCTCGCTTGTCCTGTTGGCCGCTCATCTTCTGGGTGTTGCCGCGGCGGACAACTGTACCTTGGCCAGCTTCAATGCCACACTTGGTGGGCGACTACAGTCATTGAAGCCATTCTCATTGCCATGCTTCTCTCAGCACAATGGTATCTCTATGGTACCAGATGACGCCGCATGCAGAGTGATTCAGAGCAATTACAGCGACCCTTTCCTGCGAGCCAATTCTGTCAATGGGTACATGTATAATCAGGCCGAAATATGCGCATCCGACCCAGCCAACCAATGTCTACTTGACAACTCAGATCCGACCAATCCGCAGGCTCTCACAGTCTCATGTAATCAAGGAAATATGCCTTCCTTCTCTCTAGAGGTCCAGGGCCCCAAGGATGTGGTTGAGGCTTTCAGATTCTCAAGCTGCTCAGGAACCCGTCTTTCGATCAAGAATAGTGGCCATGATTTCCTGGGCCGTAGCAGTGGCCAAGGAACTCTCTCTTTGTGGACTCGACACCTGCAATCCATGCACTACAACCCTGCTTTTGTTCCTACTGGTTGCAATGTCACCTCGAAATACGATACTATTACCGTTGAAGCGGGTGTGAATTTTGATGAGGTCTACGAATTTGCCAATACGCACAACGTCACTTTCATCGGGGGTTATTCGCCTACAGTAGGTGTCAGCGGGGGCTGGACACAAACCGGAGGTCACAGCATATTATCGCCGGCCTATGGATTGGGCGTTGACAGAGTTGTCCAGTACAAGATAGTGACACCCGATGGCAGGTATCGGATTGCCAACGAATGTCAAAACCAGGAGCTCTTCTGGGCCCTTCGGGGTGGCGGAGGTGGCACCTTTGGCGTGGTGATGGAAAGCACCCATCGTGTTGAGCCACAGGTGAGCATAGTCTCTGCCTCTATCAAGTTTCCCCTGAAGGCGGACTCCAGCAACGTTTTACCATTCCTCGATATCTTGGTGAACCATGCTGTTAAGTGGGCTCACGAAGGCTGGGGCGGCCATATCAGCGGTAACTCACTCATCAATGTCACGCCGTTGCTGTCTTTATCTGAAGCCAAGGATTCCCTGGCTGAGGCTGTCGCATATGCCAAGTCTCAGGGTGGCACTGCGGTCATTGAAGAATTCCCGTCTTGGTATGAGTTCTACCAAAAATATGTTGTTCCCAACGCGGTCACTGTTGGCAATGCTCACTTTGCGGCTACACGACTCATTCCTAAAACCGTGTTCGAGACGGCCACCGGTCGCGCAGATCTCATGAACTTTTTCTCAGTGCTCCTTTCGAAAGGCGGAAGCGTATACATCCCAGTAGTTGGACCTCTGCTCTACAAAGACGCCAAACCCAACTCAGCGACCCCAGCTTGGAGAGACGCCATCTGGTCTGTCGGGGCCGATGGCTTTTGGGCATGGAATAGCACTCTCCAAACTCGTGAGCAGAAAGTAGCTGAGATGCAAGATATGACTGCACTTCTCGAAGAGATCACACCGGGTAGTGGCGCGTACAGTCCCGAAGCCAATCCCTTCACCAAAGATTGGCAAGAGGCCTGGTGGGGTAATGACAATTATGGCAAACTGCTGAAGATCAAGGAGAAGTATGACCCTAACGGACTGTTGAGCTGTTGGAAGTGTGTTGGCTGGAAGGAATCCGATGCGCAGAGTTCCTGCTTTGCGGCATTCGGTTAAACCTCTGTTAATTCGATTTGTATACTACTGTATATTCACACGACTAATAAATCCCCGAAGGGAATCGTTTTTTTGATCTTTCTCTCCCCCTTCTTCTTCTTTTTTTTTTTTAATTTTTTTTTTTCCATCCTGATCAGTTCTCTTCATTTGCAGTTCCCAGCTATTCTATGAGAACCGTGGGTAAATCACATTCATGTCAGGTATACAGATTTACGGAATTTGTTTTGAACAAACTGTTCAATAACTCCAATGAAGACTAAATCAGACCATACCTAAGACATTAATTAATAAAAAACAAAACTCTTTTGTAAATCCCGCGCCGGCGTTACAACCCTAACCCACTGGCGTGCACGCTAGTCTCCATCCCCTTGTTTTTCACTTCACGGATGTAACACTGTCAGCAACTAAATACCCGGCCGATCGACCCCTGTCTAGTTTTTAGTACTATATCCCGACGGGATAACGAAACGGGCACTCAATCGGCACGACCGGAGTCCAATGTGGACCGTCGGGGCCCACCGGGCTTGGGGTCCAAATGCTTAGGTCTGGTCTACAATTACTCCGTAGTCTTAGCTTCGCTGAACCTGATCCAGTCCGTCTATACACAGTAAGAGTATCATTCGTTAGAAGCAGGTACCCGCTTCAACTTGTTAATATGAATCCCTACATGTCGTGTTCGGATGTCTAGGATAGGTGAAGTTGTTTGGGAGGATGTTCATTTTCTTTGTCTATGATGTGTTTAATATCTCAGGCTATTTTGCCAACATGTTAATATATCGAATAACTAGTGGCAGCCTTTTTTTTTACGATGAAGTATGTAGGGCTATCTGTAGCTTGGGCTTTGTGTCCGGTGGTGGTGCATAGTTAATTCGTGACGACATGAGAACACTAGATGGGTTTCAATCGTATCTTCTGTATTCGTATATCTTCTCGGTTTTATTCGTCTGAATATGTAACGATGAGATGCTGAATCGGTTCCTTCAGCCTGTGGATGTATATTTCATCTTCCTATATAGATAATATTAACTAGAGTATACAGCGATGGACGAAGATGAACACCGTCTATACCAGTGGATACAGAATATCCCCCCTAGAAGTGCAGCTTTGAGGGTTCTAAAAATAATAGATGCAATATCTAATATAGCTATCTTCAGTGGTAATGCCACTGTTGGAAATCCCATTGATGTCTCGAGATAATCTCTAGAACATAGATGACTCAAGCATAGAAGCCAAAGCTAACCATTAAAATTCAAAGACACTATAGTCATGAAGGTTTACCTCGGTATTTGGGAAAATTCTGATTGTAAGTATATCGACTTTCAGATCGGCCACTCAGAAGCTAACCTGTTTGTAGGCCCTAAGTATAATCCCTGTTTTGTTATGGAAAGTTTTCAACCTTTTTTTTATTTACTCGTTTGATACGAGCACACTTCCCATCTTCCAGGCCTTTCCAGTAGCCATATTACAAACTCTTTTGCTGGCCACAATGGCCCTCCACGCTCCGAAGCCGACGAAGCTACCGTTCATAGAGTAGTAGGTCCCGACTCGCTGGCACCTTTGCACGCCAGCCTCCTCATCCAAGAACAAATCTTCCTCTGCTTGTTTGATAATTGGCTGGATAACGTATGTTGTGGCATCTGAACTCAGCGCCGGTGTCTGCAAGCCCTTAAGGATTTCCTCCCATTCAGCGGTTTCCCTGATCTCATCACCAAACTTGATTCCTTGTCCACGGTACAAATCAAGAAATTGCTTTGCTTCCGGCGATCCCGGAATGATAGTGGGCACGACTCGGCGTCGGAGCAGGTTTGCTTGCGCTTCTGTTAAGACACGATGCTTCGTAACGAGGCCATCCAGTTCCTGGTGAATAATTCCTAGAATCCGCTTGTCGTGAACGAGAAGTCTAGTACGAGCGTCATTGGTCTCGGGGAGTGCTAAATGGCGAACAATTTCGGGGCTCAGAGCCGAAAAATCTGTCATCTGAAGACCTACTTGGTGGGTCATTTCTAGGGTCTCCTCTTCTTCCTGAGAACCAGAGGAAGAGGAGTAGGGGGAGGCCAATTCGCTGGAATTCCGGGTACAGTAAAGGGCATAACCAGTCTGCGAAGTAGCATCGGGAACTAAACGCAAATCTTCCGGTCTCAGCAGGCGTGGTCTCATTCGGGTCCTTTTCTCGACCTCGACGATAAACGCTTGCACCATGCTCGGTTGATTTCTGGCCGCATAGAATTCACGGGACTGGACCACGTGGATCGGCAAGTCGGGGTCGAATAATTCAAAGAACGCTTTGATCATATGGTCATCTGTAGGTAAATCGATGAAATTGGGCTTGGCTTCTTCATTTGCTAAGGCCTTGTAGATTGCAGATGCCAGGTTATGACCAAGAGAGAAGTATCTACCGTTGATTTCGCACATGTTAAATCCATCTTGTTCATCAGCGGGGATGAGCAAATCTGGTCTCCAATTCCCTTGGTGCCCTTCATATGCATGTCTTGGGTGCGCTTTACAGTAATCAGATAGCCACTGGTGGCCCCCTTGGTTATGTTTCCCATATACGGGTTTCCTTCCTTCGTGTTCGACATCAGTACCAATCCTCCGACGGGTCGCTACAACGACAAAGTATTTCTGCTAATTACACGCTGGGGTGGTCGCGATTTCAGGAGTCGACTTTGGGCCAATCGCGAATCGAGGCCATCTTGCAGGAGAAACTACTGGAATCTAGCCATGTCGAAGTTCGAAGGAACACGGTACCGACCTCGCTTGATATCGACCAGAGCCTCGTGCAGAATCATGACCAACATTCCTTCCCGATTCGGGTGGGGCTGATACCAGTTCCAGGCGTGGAGGCATCTAAGGCTGAACATGCGGACACGTGTGTGGAGAGCACTCAAGAGGTCATCGAGGCTAAATATCTGCTTGGTTGTGATGGTGCACACAGCTGGGTTCGTAAGCAACTGGGTTTGAAACTCGAGGGCGCCTCTCGAGACGTGGACTGGGGGGTCCTGGATGTATTCCCGATCACGGATTTTCGTGAGTGATTCTTTTTCCTCCTTGGAATAATACTATTCAATCAATGATCTGGCAAAAGTTACTATAGGTATATCTGGTATTGCTGATACTCAAGGAACTAGCGGATATTCGTCGACGAAGTATCATTAAATCCCGGTTTGGAAACCTGATGATCATTCCACGCGAGCGGAAACTTGTTCGAATGTATGTCCAGGTATCGGCTACTCTGGCTGAAAAGTACCGAGCGAGCGATCGGGATCCGAATGTGATCATGCAGCCATATCATTTTGACGCATCGCGTATTGAATGGTCGACGACATATTCTGTCAGTTAAGATTTCCCCTGATGATGAAGACGAATTACCGGGCGGTTAGCAAAATACTGGATCGCTGGTTGACCATAGGTGCTGCGGAGAATTGTCTCGATATGACCGAATCTTCCTGGTCGGTTTAGAACAATCAGACTAGGAGCTCGGATGCCCAGTGCATTAGTGCTCAGTCACGCAGATTCTCATCCTCATGAGCTGCAAAGGATATTCAAAAGTACAGGAGAATGGAACCTTGTCGTATTTGGTGGGAACATCGTCAAGGAAGAACAATGCCAGCGAGTCGAAAATGTCGCCGCAGCATTGTCCTCCCCTAAGTCGGCTGTTCAGAGAATCAACGCCCGGAGATATCTTAATCGCGACAGAGTTGTTGGGTCTCTCGTCGTCTATCTAGTGCACTCAGCGCCAAGCACAGAAGTTGATATTGGAAACCTACCAGACATTTTTCGTCCGCCTGATGAGGATACCGGGTTTGACTATGGCAAAGTATTTGTTGACAACAAGTCTTATCACGTTGGTGGGGGGAAAGCATATGAGGAGTACGGGATTTCGCCTTATGGCTGTCTTGTACTGTTGAGATCTGACCAACATGTGGCTTTCAAAGGCGACTTAGAGGATATCGGTGAGCTTGAAAACTTTTTAGAATCTATCCAGCTGGGGGGCATCAATTGATTATCTCTTGCCTTGAATTCTCCAAGTGTTCAATGTTCATATAGACGTCTTGCGGCTAGCTTTTGCTTATTTCCGTGATTTAGAGGTTAAGGGACAGATGTCGCAGGTGTATCTAAATATTATCCCCCTCATATAAAGGTAGAGGATGATTTCTTTTGTAATCAGATGGAATTGTCCAGGTAGGGATCATTAGCTCCAAACAGTAGCATTGAAGCTAAAATAACCTTGCAGGAGAAGACTAGAATCTGTCACTTTATTACTAGGATTAGGCCGGAATCCGGATAATGCATATGGTAACCACCAGACTCTAATAGCTGCGATCTTGTAATCTGTAATCCCTCAGTACACTGTATCGGTGCTGGATTGTAGTGCAGTACAATATAGTACTCTGGCGCGGGAAAACCGGACATCACATATTATAAGCAAAAGGATAAGCTAGTCTATATTTACAATAACTAACCAGCGAATCGTTCACGATACTTCTAAAAAAAAATAAAAATAAAAATAAAAAAAAGGCGGGATATTCCGTCTATACAGCCCTGTTATTCTCCAACAGCTCGAGCGTGTTTCACCTTCCAGTACCAAAGCTCCGAGCACCCGGTTTCCACGCGCAGGATTATACAATAATTGCGCGCCTCTTGTAATAGCTAACCGAATGCTAGATTCAGTCTCAACGTGTCGTAGCTATAACCGACGGAGCAATTATAACAATTATCACAACGACCGCGAGTATCGTGCAGCAGACCCGGCTCTTTTGAACACGGCCGTTCTTTTTAAAGCAATTTCGGGTTCTATACTTGCTGTATGATTTCTCCCACGTGCCTGCTTCAATATCTCCTGAAGTCTGGGTGCCACTGACGGCTTCCCTCTGCATCTCTTGCGCCCGTTGGTTGACCTCTAGGGTACAGTCTCGATCGCTGGTCTCAAGTGTGCAGTCACGGTCACTGACTTGTAATCCTTCATCCTCGCGATGTCTGGGTTGCTGTGGCGCGAGTTCTTGTATGTATCGTTATTTGACGATGGAGGGTCACGTGTACCTATGGGATGACATCTAGTAGAGAAAAAATCAAATGGATGTTAGCCATTGTTGACAACAGGGGAAAAGTTCGAATCACGTACCGTAATTTCACATCGGAGGTTTTTGATATATGTAATGGAATAAGAAGGACATCTTGCGTCTCAGCCTACGTGATTAGGGGGGGAAAGGAAATGAGACGTATTCTTCGGGAGGATGAGGCTGAGTATTTCCTCAGATAACTTAAGCTATCATATTGACGGGACCAATTAGTTTTACAGAACTAACTGGCTAACGGAATGAGGCTGCCCAATGATATTAAGCTATAGTTCAGCCAAGAGGGAGCCCGGGCGATTCTCATCTATATCTTTGTCTATATCTTTGTACGGAGCTGTATTTCAAAAAGTTATCAAACTGCATTAGTTACTGCTAGTTAATATTACGGGACCATTGGCCAATAGGAGCCACTTTGCACCCTCCAAAGTGACATCTAATTGGCTTTCTATCACGTGATATTTACGAGGGTAGTTTAATAACCTTTTGAAATACAGCTCCGTACACTTTTTCGCTCTTCAGACGGGCTTTATTTAGAATAATGCACATGCCATGATAAAGAGGTATGTCCAGAGCCACCAAAAAGGAGTTGATTGCTTTTCTTTAGACTCAAGACGAAACGAGTCCTCTACTACTACTCTTCAAATTCCTGAAGGATCCCCAGCGCCAGCTTGACATACGTGTTCGATTGAATGACCTGGATTTAATGAGTTACTCATGTATTTCACTCTTCTATGTGATGCGGTTGCCTACTTTTATGATTATGTTTTCTAATTGGATCCTCAGAGTCTGGAATCGTATATCAGATGCAACGGCGGTATTCTACCTGGGAGGCCTGTGACTATTGAAAGGATTTTATAGATATCAAGGGACATATTGTTATCCATTTATCATGGGAATGTGTGTTTCATATAGAGATATGACTGCCGTGGATTCATCAATATATTGCATTTTCGATGTAGATACCAATTCTGAATACTCCAGATTCTGTCAAAGAATGCCCCAAATCACCACTCACTTGCTTTTCATTGTTATTATTCCGTCCAAATTTCTATATCACGTCTTCCATCCCAGGGTAAGCTATTGGCACAAATCACAGATTACATGTCACATGATATGATGCATTCTGATGTACATAGGGTCTTAGCGGAGAGACTATCGTACAACGGAATAAAAACCACTCGAGGTCCAAGTTGCAGCAAACTTAGACTAAACTATATTCCTCATATCAGTGATGTCGGTATCGATAGCATTATGACAGTTGCTCAGGCGGGGTCTGGAATTGGAACGGGCCGACCCAATCTATCGTGCTATAGAATCTGGTTCGCTCCACACGCCACTTTACACTTCGGACATAACATGTCAATCTATAATTGGGTGGTGCATGTGATATAAATTAATGCTTGTACACAATATAAGGTTAGTAATTGACCAAGTGTCTAGTCTCAAGTCATGAATCATTCTTTACATCATCTCCTACGAAAAAAAAAAGTTAAATAGAAACCCTAGAAGCGAACACCAAGAGAAGAAAATGGAAATGAAAACGGGTTATCATATGCATTTCAAGATATAACATTCACAAAGAATTGAAAACTCCCTCATAGATCGATGTCAGCCCGGCCGCATCAATCAAGGACCGGTGAAATGAAGCTCTCCGTTCCTGTTCTCGATCTTATCGCCTAGCAACATTCCCTGGTCACCACGGTCGCCACCGTCGTTCCTGCGCATCACAGCGACCAGCTTGGGACCCCACTCGGTATCCTCCAAACGGACATTCCAGGCGCTGCTGGTGAAGTTCTTTCCGCCCCAGATGAACCATCCTGTGTATTATTTCTGTTAGCCATCTATGTACTGTATATCCAGACAACCGGGGGGGTGGAAAGAGTATGGTGAATTACCATCAGTGTTGCCGATGTGGTCATCCAAACGGATTGTTCGTTCAATCCAGTTGCCATGCATATCTTTGACCTCCACTCGGAACAGGGTGACGCCATTTTCTTGCCTGATGCGCCAGTTTCTAGCGGTGTGGTGGAAGGAACCCATTTTGGAGGATCGTTTGTTTAGTAGTAGCAATAGGTAGGGAGGATAGGAAGTCAAGGATGGACGAGGTTGAAGCTAGGAAAGTCAAGGTGGACGGTATATTTATATCATGGCGTGTTCAGCTGGCCACCCACCGCATTGCTGCCCTAAGGCCCCATGTTCCCTTAATTAAGTAGCGACTAACGATGCAGGGTGACATAGCAGGTGGACCTGTCGTGGCGGCCATTGGAGAGCGAGGGGTTGCCAGGTGGGGTTTCAGAGGGGCTTAGCGAGGGGCATTTCGACTCCTTTTATTTATAGCCACTGGTCCCATCGTTGAGTCGGTGAATCGCAGCAACGACACTCAATCGAAGAGGTTAATTTATGAGTAATTTCATGGCTAAGAATTATGGAGCTGTCGTGTGCTTTCCGAATTAGAGCGAAGGTAAACAATGACCGCTTTGGGGGGGAAGCTGAGGATCGACGCCGGGATCCTTGGGTCTCGAGGTGGGTCGCTCTCATTGATCGTGTACCACAATAGCACTTCCATTGTGGGATACACTGAACCTTCTCGGTTATTCGAGAGGCAATATATATATGTGGGATTCGTCATTTGGAGAGGCAAATTGCTTGGTTTGTAGCTGCGCCTTCGTAACGCAAGACATGTAATATGCAGTAAAAACGACATGCATGCATACATACAAATGCGGTAACTCCAGTCTAGTAGTCGCAAGGTGATACACTTACCCCGCCATCTCCAGATGCCCAATTGTGAGGGCGACGTAGAGAATTTATATATAGAATTTGTGGTGTTGTGTGAGACCCCCTGGGGCACGCTGTTATTGTTGCCTATCTTGAGGTCTCGCCTCGATTGTACCATGTCTGACACATGCTTTGCTCGTTGTACGAAGAATTTCCCCCGCTTTTCTAGATGCTTCTGGGGTTTTTTACTTGAGTAAATTGAGTCTCGTTGGTGCAATTCAGACTGCATGTCTTGTCACAAGGAACCGAAATGCTGCTGCTAGTCCTAGCGACGTGTTGGTGTCGACCTCGTAGTGTACCCTCTAGTAACAAGAAGGCCAAACCAATGACACCCAGTGATAATAAAGTCTCGCAACCTGGGAGATACAGCTCAATACTGTCAGGATCGGGTAATTTAACTCATCGCAGTAGCCACCACCCCACTAATTCACCAAACTAGATTGTAGCGACGTCCACGAATAGCTATAGAGCGCCTCCATGAAGAGAAAATAGGCACTCCTTCCATTAGAGGCGCAAGAGTGGCAAGCGAGTAGAGCCCTTTCCCATGAAATGGTGAGCGAGCGCTAGATCCTCTTTTTGGACGGTGTCCCTTCCGCATGTCTTGCCAATAAGCGTCCCACTAAATGAGAGTCAGTGTATCTTTTCCGATGATACTCTGGGGCCGAAAAAGACCTACATCTGGTCATTTTAAGAGCTTCTTGAGAGCTGATTGAACGCGTGTCGATGTAGGGAGTCCGATGAGGTCCCTTGACCGCTTTTGACGACAGATACGCGCGGGTTTGTGGCTCCAGTCCTTTGACAAATATAGACGTGCCTGAAAATTGTTTATTGATGGCATTCCTTTCATTGTTGCTTTCTTTGTCTTGTTTTCTTTTTCTTTCTGTACAGTAATGTGAGAACTTCCCTAATTGCCGGTGACCAAAGCTTCGATTTCTAATTGCACCGTAATTGTTGCCATCGAAACACATGGTGGTGCGGGCTCAGGAGTTAGTTTTGCAAAGACTTTCTGGGTCTCTGGGGGTTGGATAGTGGCCATGTGTAGATGGAACTCAGGTGCTCACACAACGGAGTTCAGGGGATAATCTAAGATTGTAAGATGATAAAACGGATGAAAAAGGTGACTTAATGGGACGTATGAGATGACGTAGATAAGCTGAGTCGTTGAAGGGATGGTGGAATATTGTTCATCAGTGTATTTGACTGACCGGCAATATCCTTGTGTAGGTACAAATGGAGTAAGAAGTATTTCCAATATATATATTAAGGTGTAGGTCGGTTGCAAAAGCATGCTAAATGGAATCAGTGTAGATATCGGCTGGAATAGATGATACGAGTGGGTACTATGTGAAGTAAAGAGAGACAGAGAAAGAGAAATCTAAAAACCTCCATAGTCGACGTTCAGAGAACTCTCAATGTAGTGTTAGTCCCTGTCGTCCTCAATTTGAAGAAGTGGTCATTACGTCCTAAAGTGCACGACATCGTCGTCTCAAAAAGTCAGTACATGTAGACTCGACTCACATATAATAGATTGTTTAGGCAATTTGAGTCCTCATGGATGCATTATCCAAATAAATAAATAAATATCCTACTGCTCGAATTCTTAACGGAACGTCGGTTTCAGACCCTACCAACTAGCAAATGAATGAAGATGCCGTCCTATCTTCGGAGTATACAATGACATGTATTAAACTGGACAGTGTGAATGTAGATCACTGGACCGACCTAGTCCTTATATGGCAAGGTAAGATAAGCACCTCCTCCGGAGATCAAAGCTGATCAAGTACATGTTCAGTACCCCGCACTGTCCGTTCTGATAAATGTTTTTTACGTCTGATTACGTGCTTCACTATCCGAGAATAGATAGGCTATTGCGGATATCATCCCCAGAACTTAAGCTTTGTTGTTATATCATATTTCCACAGAGCCCTGGATCGCCACGACTGGACCTGTACCGACAAGACAGGCTAAAAGAAAATCTAATCATAACCTCGTAGCCAGGTCGGTTACGACAGCAGACAAAACGGATGATGTCGACTTCGACGTATCACCTTTGCTTGAGTCGTAGGTTCATGTTCAAGTAGGCCATAAGGTGAGGCAAAAAGGGAAGCAGTGTTGGCCCCTATTCAATACAAACAAAGCCTCTTCGGGGTGAGCTAGCGGCAATTGTACGACAGAAGGAATGCATCGAATAAAGACAATACTGGACGAGTAACCAAGGCCAAATATATGTTGACTCCACAATCGTTCAAAAAGGAACATGTACATGGGTCGAATGCGTCCCAAGTCGCCGGTACGAACCCGATGGGAGAGCATGTCCCACGAGCGGAGATTATGTCAAGACTAAAAGGAATAGACACGGACGTACCGACGAATGGGAGAGGGTTATTTCCTCCTACATTTCCGGGGCCGGGGTAGAAAAACTGCACCACGAGATCCCGTACACTGCATGTCATGGAAAGTCTAATAAATGAAGAAATGGCACTACTTCATTCTCGTCGACAGGATGCAGAAACGGTTGACAGCAGCAAATCGTCTTCTTTCCAGAGTCCGGGCAAAGATACTTTCCGTTCACTAACGCAAAAGACTCACCGGATAGCAGCCACGGTCCAACACTGGGAATCCCCGCATAATGGCCACGTTCGGAAACGGATGATGCCCAAGATGCCGAGGCTTAGGTATATCCACCGGTAGGTCCTGTTCTCTCGTTACAACCACAGGACAAGGTCTCAACGTCGGCAGCTTCCGCCATGATGATTGGTGGTGGCCCCGACTAGCGGGATACCCTAAATATCGCTTAGAGAGGAGACCATGGTTATGTTTTTTGTTAGTAGAAGTGTATGACAAGAATCAGGAAGGCTATTGAGGAAAATGCATGACCTGCTAAGCGCTTTCCGGCTTAGAGGGAAACTGTCGGGAGTCCAGAGAAAATTTGGGCGGCCTGGCGCATGCCAAGACCCTTGGCAGTTTGCGACATGTCAGAGCAAACATTTCGTTTCTAATTCAAATGGGAGTTGCGAAGAAGAAAGAGAGAAAGTCAGAGGGGCAAAGATTGGGAGTGGCAACTCCAATAATCCTACTTTTGCTGGCCATGAGCATTCGCGAAGGGGAGTCTGGGAGCTGAAAGTCTTCGGGGTCCCATGACTCTTCCAAGCCCTCGCTCGGTCCATTGTCTCACCAAGTGATGGTCAACAACGGGTGGACGCCACAATCCCTCTTAGTGCGTCTTTTCACCTTCGCGGCAATTCTTGGCCAGCCTTCTGCCTTGTCCACGACTTCACTGCAACCGTAGCTGCAAGTAAAGTTGGAGTGGCGTCTGGCTCACCTCATTCTCTCGGATAGGGGAGCCGAATAATCAAGCATCTCTTGGACGCTGGGGTTACATTCAGTCGGGGGGGCTCATTTGCCTCGAGTCGGACAAGGTTTCAGTTCTTTCTTTGTTTTGTGGGTGAGTTGTTTCCAGAACATTATCAACCCTGATCCTCATATCAGGGGGCGATGTTCCTCAACGGGAGAAGGGGGGTTGAAATGGGAAGGAAATCTTTTGCCGCCGATCCTCCACATGGATGCCGACAGGTTTCCCCAGGACAACAATCTTACAGTAGTACTACTAGTCTAGTGTCTCAAAGACTGAACCTGCCAGATATCCACCCCCATATAACCCACGAGAGCAGTTTCCCGGAGAGCACTCTTCCTATCTTGGTTAGTGGACGGGCTTAACCCCAGGTTGTCTACACACGTGGTAGGTTGAAATTTCCGACCCCCGTCGACGGTCCGGGACTCAACCAATGGAACAGGAAGAACCAACTTTGCCAGCCAGGAACGGTCATACGGCCGGACATCTCCTTCAATAACTGGAGCCATTCAAAGCCGACTGACTTCTTCGGTAATGGGACCCGACCTTCTGTTTGGTCAGATTCAAAGTGACTCTGCCAAATCCAGCGATATAGCCGACGATTTAACTCGGACTTTTAGTGCTGAAAGCCTGAAGTACTCGCGCGCATGAGCCGATGTCAGCTTCAGGGATCTGGACCTTGTCTTTGGCTCTTTTGTCCCGTTACTAAGATTATAGTAACCCACTCTGGGGTTGGACAACAGTCGCTGGACTGACTTCTATACCAACGTAGCAGTAATGCAATGCACGGGCCTATAGTCCTTCCAATGTCACCTAAATCGGTCTGGCCATTCCTCTGATTGGCTCCTACCGCAGTCATTTTCTTAAGGATCTAAGATTAGCCAACCTAAATCAGGCATGGTTGTAAACACGGTATTTCCTTTTGCCTTCTTCTAGGGCAAAACCTGGTTAGCTTCATGGCCCATGGAACATCGTGCCATCGTGTCGGAAAAAAGACACAGAAAAAAATAATAATAATGAATAAATAAAATAAAAATTGCAAGTGAGGTTAAAAAATTTCTAGGGCCGAGTGACACAGGCTTTCCCCGTGGGTGAATTTCCCCGGGTCCGGCTGTATGCCGATTCTCAAGAAGTTTTTGTAACACCGCCAGAGTTATAAAAGCACATCCATTCCCCTGCTTCGCTTCGGTTCATTTCTCCCGTTCGCCGTGTTCCCTTTTGGTGGTTAACTTGCCGTCTTCCATTCGCCCTCCTGTTCTTTCCTGTCCATCGCTGGACACACCATCTCTTTCTTCTTCTTCTCTCTTTCGCACACCCATACACCTGTGAACCCTGTGCGAGGTTGACCCAGCAGCTCTATCACCATGGGCGACGCTGTAGCTCCAAACGCCCTCGCCGATACCATGCGAGTGGAGGCACCCGTCACCTTCAAGACTTATATGATGTGTGCCTTTGCCGCCTTTGGTGGTATCTTTTTCGGTTATGATTCCGGTTATATTAACGGTGTCATGGGCATGAGTTATTTCATCCAAGAATTTGAAGGCTTGGTCAGTCTCGTCATTTCCTCTAACCAGTAATCCTAAGGGTGGCTCGGACAAGTAGCTAATACTGGTCGAACTATAGGATCCTGCCACCACCGATCCGAATCATTTCGTTGTCTCATCGTGGAAGAAATCCTTGATCACATCCATCTTGTCGGCAGGCACATTCTTCGGTGCACTGATTGCTGGAGACCTTGCTGACTGGTTTGGACGTCGGATCACTATCGTCTCCGGTTGTGCTATCTTCATCGTTGGTGTCATTTTGCAGACCGCATCAACCACCGTAGCTCTTCTCGTGGTGGGACGTCTGATTGCGGGATTCGGTGTCGGTTTCGTGTCGGCCATCATTATCCTGTATATGTCGGAGATTGCTCCTCGCAAGGTCCGCGGTGCCATTGTGTCTGGATACCAGTTCTGTATCACCATCGGTCTGATGCTGGCTTCTTGTGTCGACTACGCCACCCAAAATCGCACGGACTCCGGTTCCTATCGCATTCCGATTGGCATTCAGATTGCCTGGGCCCTCATTCTCGGTGGTGGTTTGCTCCTCCTACCGGAATCGCCCCGTTATTTCGTCAGAAAGGGCCAGCTCGAGAAGGCGTCATATGTCCTCGCTCGTGTCCGTGGTCAGTCCGAGGATTCAGAGTATATCAAACAGGAGCTGGCGGAGATCGTTGCCAACAATGAATATGAGATGCAAGCGATGCCCCAGGGCGGCTACTTCACAACCTGGCTGAGCTGTTTCCGTGGAAGTCTCTTCCACCCCAACAGCAATCTCCGCCGTACCATCCTGGGTACTTCTCTTCAGATGATGCAGCAGTAAGTTGATCCCATCCAACACAGTCCAGAAAGGTCTGTGGCGCCTAGACTACCGCAGTACATAGCTAACATGCTCCCTTCTAGATGGACCGGTGTCAACTTCGTGTTCTACTTCGGTACCACATTCTTTACCTCGGTATGTGTCACCGAGCCACAGGAAAAGAGACTTAATGTTTGCTGACTGAAGGACAGCTCGGAACGATTTCAGATCCTTTCCTGATTAGCATGATCACCACCATTGTCAATGTTTGCTCGACTCCCGTCTCGTTCTACACCATGGAGAAGATCGGACGTCGTCCCCTGCTGTTGTGGGGTGCTCTTGGTATGGTTATCTGCCAGTTCATTGTCGCCATTACCGGTACCGTCGTCGGTGACAAGGGCGGTAACAACGCTGCCGTCAGCGCGGAGATTTCTTTCATCTGCATTTACATCTTCTTCTTCGCCAGCACCTGGGGTCCTGGCGCATGGGTAGTCATCGGCGAGATCTTCCCTCTGCCCATTCGTTCGCGTGGTGTGGCTCTGTCCACTGCGTCTAACTGGCTTTGGAACTGCGTAAGTCGCACCCTCGTGTTTGTGTGTAGCGTAAAAGGTGGTTTCCCTAACGATTGAGATAGATCATCGCTGTCATCACTCCGTACATGGTCGACCAAGACAAGGGCGACCTCAAGTCCAAGGTGTTCTTCATCTGGGGTGCCCTCTGCACCTGCGCCTTCATCTACACCTACTTCCTCATCCCGGAGACCAAGGGGCTCACCCTCGAGCAGGTCGACAAGATGATGGAGGAGACCACTCCGCGGACCTCTGCCAAGTGGAAGCCTCACACCACCTTCGCGGCTGACATGGGATTCACCGAGAAGGACATCACCGACAAAGTCCACGTCGCCCATCGGGAAGTCTAATCCACTCTAATGGGGGGTCAGTGGGGAGTCGTTTTGGTTTCGGGAGGAGGGGTGTTCTGCACTTTACTTTTCTCTCTATCTTTTTTTTTAATTCACTGGTTATCAGCTATGAACTCATACCCATGATTTTACGCGTCATGTCGTTTTAATGTCCTGGCAGAACTGAGAGGATGACCGAGAGGTGTACCATTAATCAATACTCACCTTCTTCAACTATAGTGCATGCTTTTGATCCATTGTAGGTTGTTAAACGACAACCTTAAACTCTTGAGAGTGTAGGGTAATTCGGCTTTCTTCCGTGGAGATTCCGTGGGTCACGCTAAGGCTACTAGTACACTAGTGGTTACTGTACGGAGTACGGAGTAGGTAGACCGTAAAAGTAACTCAACAACAACAAATCTTGATGAACCAAGTGGGTTTCCCGATGCAGGGGCACTAATACATTCCGATACCGTATTTGTGACCGGAATCGTCGATTCTTAGAGGATATGTACATACTAGCAAGTCAGTTTCAATCAAATCTTCGGTGTCGGGAGGAAAAAAGTCTCTCTAATATCCATGTTGCCGTCAGGAATGGGGAGACTCTGTCTATGAGGCTGAGTAGAGTATATGTATTTTACCTCTGTAAAGTGCCTCGGTATCGAATCTCTCGACTAGATTGTATGCATTTTTGTAATTTTCGTGGGTTTCTAACCTGTTTTCTTTACCTCCCGTTGTATACCCACAGACGTTCAGATACAATAACTGAAATGCATCTGCCTATTTTCAAGGTAGAAGACTCTGAAGTCGGAATATCCGTAAGTGATCCATCTAGATTAAAGAAGAAACAGTCCACGAATCAATATCCTGCCAAGATATCCAGCACTTGCCAAGCGATCGATCGACAAGAATCTGGAGGGCAGAGTTTTCCGTCTTTGAGCTCCGCTTAGTCATCCTACCTTAGGGTTAGCTTGAGTCTTGTGGTTTGCCATTTCATTCCTTTTCCTTGGGTCACATTCCTGTTTCAGCAATCGAGCCAATGCTTAATTGGCATTTTCAACGCCAAATCAAACTGTTTAAGGCAACATGCGTAGCATAATTTCCTGAGAAGGATCGACATACGCGTCGGCAGTCGAAAGGTACCAATTACCGTTTCCGCTGTTCGGCAGAGCTCCGCTGTGCCAAGACGTCTTGTGCCTGGTGCTAAACATACTCGCACACTGACCAGAGTCAGACTCCTCTGTGGCACAGCAAGTTAGAATACGCAATACATAGGAAATAAAAGGATCGACACGCTTCACGATCATGTCCGAGGTATACCCACCAATCACCCTAGGGCCATTAATCACTCCGGCTGTGCCAAGCCGCCGGTTGTTTGTGTCGAGTGAGCTTGGTCCACGAAAATTGTACCATGCACGATGCATAACATTGGGATTACGCCATGGCAGAGTCCTTCTTGTGCCTTGTAACTACTCTATTCTTCCCCACTTGCCACGTCCGTGCCCGTTTTAGTCGAGTTATCTATTGTTGCTGAACAGTGGGCGAGGACGTTGCCTCGTCAGCCAGCGTCGATCATGCCCCATTTCTGTCTGGGCTGAAGATGCCCTAAAACAAGCTATGTCGGTTCAACGGTACTCTATTGCATTCAACCGGCGCTAGCACGCTATTTTCGGGATGCTCTCCTGTCCGGGTTGGGGGTTGCTGAACAATGCTCCCCGCCCCATTCGACGGTCTAGACAGGGTGCACTATAGGAATTGCGTCAGCTAGAAGCCGCGGTACTCCTTGTGTTTGATATGGCTTCCACCAAGGTCACTGGGGTATAAAGCCGGCATTGCGCTCGAGAGTGTCTAGAGGATCATCAAGACAATTCTCTAATCTCATTCTCTCCACCACTACTTGTGTATCAGTACCAATCCTTAATCATGGTTCAACTTGCTTCTACCCTCGTCGCTGGCTTGGCTGGCCTTGCCAGCGTCGTCTCTGCCCACCCGGGTCACGACGTCAAGGCCGAGGCCGCCGAGCGTGCAGCTTTCCTGAAGAATGCTCCTCTCCGCTCTCGCAGCCTGGACCAGTGCACTACCAAGCTGCGTGCTCGCGGCCAAGAGCAGCGCAACATCGCCCGTCGTGAGCAGGCCGTCAAGAACCTGCGCCGCAGCATGGGCCTGCAGTCCCGTATGCCTTGCTCACTTCCTTCCAACCTTCATACATCAGCACCGCATACTGACTGTTCTGGACCAGGCTCCCACTTCCTCAAGGCCAGAGACCTCGACACCGCCCTCAACACCACTCACCACTCCACCCAGGATGTCGACCTCTCCACTGACCCCAACGTCCTCTTCGCCGACGAGGCCACCTGCATCCTCGCCCCGGACGTCACCCAGGGACCCTACTGTACGTTGCCATCTACATCCTCAATCAACCCTATCTAACATAAGCAGACGTCTCTGGCGAGCTGATCCGCAACAACATCGTCGAGGATCAGGAGGGTGTCCCCCTCTACCTGGACATCCAGCTGATCGACACCAACACCTGCGAGCCCGTTCCCCAGGTCTACCTGGATTTCTGGCACTGTAACGCCACCGTAAGCGCTTTCTAGCTACCACTACTCCAAGAAAGAAAACCCCCAAACACTAACAAAAGAAAAACAAAGGGTGTCTACTCCGGTGTCGTCGCCAGCGGAAACGGCGACAGCGATGACGAGAGCAACATCGACTCGACCTTCCTCCGTGGTCTCCAAAAGACCAACAACGACGGTATCGTCCAGTTCCAGACTATCTTCCCCGGTCACTATACCGGCCGTGCTACCCACATCCACGGTACGTCTTTTTCCTTACTTCCCTACTCGCCTCACCTCTTCCTACCCCCCATTTCCCCACTTCATACTATTATATAAATAAGATTACTGATTAAAAGGTGGGAAATAAAATAGTGCTCACCCACCCGGCCAACGAAACCTCCGTTCTGCCCAACGGAACCATCACCGGCCTGTACAACACCAAGACCTCCCACGTGGGTCAGATCTTCTTCGACCAAGACCTCATCTCCGTCGTCGAAGAGACAAGCCCTTACGCCACCAACACCCAGGAACTGACCACTAACGCTGAGGACTCCATCCTCGCCGAGGAAGCCGACACCATCGACCCCTTCGTCGAGTACGTTCTCCTCGGTGACGATGTCTCCGAGGGTGTCTTCGGTTGGATCTCTGTTGGTATCGATGCCACCGAGGATACCTCTGTTACCCCTGCTGCGTACTTTACCGAGGATGGTGGTGTCGAGAACGAGAACTCCGGTATGGGTATGGGTGGTGGTGGTCCTCCCAGTGGTTCTGGAGTTCCTTCTGGAGTTCCTTCTGGTGCTGCCCCGTCGGCTAGTGCCTCTGCTTAAATTAGAGGGGGGTTCGTAAGATCCCGGTGATTGAGTCTTTTGGTTCCAATCACTGTGATCTTTTTTTTTTCCTCTTCTCTTTCTATATTCCGGATATCTTGGGTTTATTTTGAATCAGGATATTTGGTATTCGCTTCTCAATCGTATATTTTTTTTTTATTTAAAAAGAAAAATAAATATGATATTTCTCGTCAATAGGGTTGCTTCCTACCTTTCTAGTATCGATTATGCTGTTTTCATCCCGGATGATTTGATAGAAACTACAGAAGAAATACTAATTCCCTTAATTTATCATTTGTTTTGCACTGCGCCGGGCTTGTATTGAAGCGGATTTGGAAAAAATTAAGTCACATGGGGACCAGGTGGTCTGGTCAAACCAACCAAACCGATAATATCTAGGTAGGACGATGGGTGTTTCCAAATGGGCATGGAATAATAATACAAAGGTCTACAGAGATAGGCAAAGAATTTCAAATATTAATGGCTTGACTACATTTCATTTGCAGCATGTCAGATAATATAGCAAGGACCTCAAGTACGTACACACATTATGCATTACTTATCTACATACTTAAGATATTATTAACCCGCAGCATAGGTGCTCATCTTCCTCATCGTCTCTCCATACTTCCACAAGAAAATCGGTGCTGGGATACCAATGACGATCGAGATGAAAGCCAACAAACTATTCCCCCACCCATAATGCAACGCCTGGTACATGTACGGCGCGAAAAGTGGAAACCCAAATCCTGCAATGGAACGTAGGAATGAACCAGCGGCCATCGCACTAGCTGCAAACCGCGTGTAGGCATCGACAATGTAGGTCTGGATGCACTGCATGGCGACTATGTTTCCCATAGCCAGGAGCATGGCACCGATGTTCGGGGCAATCCAGTGGCAGTGGGTTTGCGCGGTCCAGCCGTAGATGAAAAGGCCAACTGGGTTGAGGATGGCGGCAATAGATAATAGCGGGGTGCGGAATTCCGGCTTCCCTGTACCGCTATTGCGGGCCTTGAGACGGCGATAGACGAGGTCATTGAGCCGTGCGCAGATCTGGGAGCCCAGGCAGTACCCTATTCCAAGGGAAATGTAGTTTAGACCGCCAATGCCTGTGGACTCATTATAGTACTCCGGGCTGGTCCATAAGGCCGGAAATGTCGACGACATCAAATATAAGATACCGTATACGTAGGCCATATATATCGCAAGGGCTTGGACGATGGGCTGAGTTGCGAGAAGGCGGAACGGGCGAACAAGCGCTGTGCTTAGAACCTCAGGTAAAGTCTTGTTCTGTCGCTCGGCTTCGGTCTCGTAGGAGGTGTCTCCTGTGTCTTTGCGGAGCTTTTTTGCTCGTGTCCTGAGGATCTTTGGGGCATATGTCTCGCGCAAGAAGAAAAGACCCATGAGTTGGATGACCCCATCAGCGATGGATGTGGCGTAGAATACCCATCTCCATGTCGTCCTTTCCGCGATGAAGCCGCCGGCAATTGGGCCAACAGCCGGGCCAAGGAGAGGTGCTAAGCTATAGATAGCAATACTTTTACCGCGTTCCTCCGGTAGAAAGCAGTCAGAGAGCACCCCACCACCTATCTAAACGCTGTTAGATCGTGAATTCATGTATACCCATGATGTGAAGCACTCACCGCTAGAGGGGCACTGCCTCCTAGTCCAGCCAAAAACCGAAAGACGATCATCTGCGCCGAAGTTTGAGATACGCCGCAGGCGATGTTGAATATAAGGAAGAATAAATTCGCGAGCTGCAAGACAATGACTCTACCGTAGATCTCGGATAGGGGCCCAAGGAATAGCGGGCCAAATGCATAAGCCAGGACGAAAATGGACAGCATGAGTTGGGAAGTCACTTCATCTTCAATATGGAAGTCGGACTTCATGGTTTGTAATGCGGGTGCCACCATAGATGACATCACTGGGGATATGAATGTAAAACAGGACACAATCAAAACAGCTCCCCATTTCTTCTTTGTTGGCCAGTTCTTAGGGTTATCAGGGTCATCAGGACCAGTCCATGTAACCTACGTTATCAGTAACTGACAATGATAATCGGATGAGCTCGCAGAGACTCACTAGTTTGGAGTCCTGCTGTGGACTGTTTGACTTCTCTGGGCTAGATGTAGGCTGAGCACCCTTTTCCAAGTCAATCCCCCGCTCTTCTGGGTCTCTCACAGCTTCAAGACCAAGCTCAATTCCATTCTTTTCATCTTGGGCTGGCACGCCCTCGTGGACCGCTGCACCATGTTCAGTTGTATTACTACTGTGCAATATGGATTGATCGTCATAATTTTGTCCGGTGCCAGTTCCACCAATATGCGAAACGTTCTGTATAGCTCTTGAGCTAGATCTCCCCGTCGAACTTGCAGGACCTGGACGGCGCGGTTCAATATTCGACAGATGCGACTCAGAGTTGAGAGTAGAGGACGACGAAGACCGTGATCTGGTAGGTCCAACACCTAACGTCTCATGACTACCAGCCATAGCCAGTAATGTATCCAGGAAAGCCAACAAGAAGTTTCTGATTCACGAGAAACCAAACCGAAAAAGAATGAAACAAGAGACGGGAACCACACGATATATCATTTTGACCGTGTCAGCCAACCACCAATAGGAGCATCCAACGAAGCGTTGTACAGCATAACCCTAGGATAATCCATCATAGTGACGGATTTTACAGCGCTAAACACCGACAGTGGAGCGTCGTCGTTAGATTTTGCAATTCTGAGAGGCATGATTGGGCTAGGAGGAAAGCTTGACATTGATTATTTATGGAATGCTACTGAACGGCACCCCGACTCCCGACGATAATTGTGGAGCAGAGCGGCTTGGCCCGTCTATTGCAATTGAGGAGAGTCCAAATTATCCAACTTCTTTTATCTAGAATCGGATCTTCGGCATCTTGATAGCACGTGACGCGTTACTGTCTCAAAGTGGCCGGCGTTGAGCCAATCATTTTCATTCCGAATCCCGACTCCCGACAATAAGTCCTGGTTTCAACAAGTGTTGAACAGAATGGGTTCCATTTTGGACTCCTATCATGTCGGAGAGGTAAGCGAATCAGCTCATTATCATCATCTGCAAGAATCGTGGGTCTGGTGACGATCTCCGTGACTCATCTGGCATTGGACACGATAATCTGGAAGGTCCAGAGCACGGTCTCTGTGAACTGACCGCTGTTAGTTGACGGTTGGACGATCCCCTGTGCGGGTCTGCCTCATGGTGAGCTGTCATGCAGGTTTCAAGTTTTCTTATAAATCTTGTTAGTTATTAGTCACCGCCACGTAGACATACTAATCAAACACAGGATAGGCAGAGAAGGTAGCTAGGTACTAGCGGTGGACTGTTGTGCCCTCATCTAAATAGTCTCGATTCTAGTCATAATGGTAAGCTTTGTAGTATATCACACTTTATATCTAAACCTTTCTCAAGCATCCTGCTAAGTATCTCTCAATCCGGTTAACATCGTCTAACGCTGCAATCGTTCCAACATATCCATCAGGCCGAATCACGGCCAAGGCTCCCTGGGCTGGGTCCACGCCGTAGACCTTATAAACGTCATCAATTTCATAGCCGCTGTGAAACCGCATTTCGGAGTGTTTCTTAAGCTCCTGAGGCACATCGCGCCATGTGAAGGTCTTGTCAAGGCGAGGGTGAATAACCACCTGCTCCAGTGTCGAGACTGGGAAGTGAGGGAGAACAGAGGTTCCAAGGGTAGTCAATGCCTTAGCAGAGGTTCCCTGGGGATCTAGCAAGTCTAATGAGGTAAGGCAAAGAATACGAAATCGTCCGGTTGAGAGGAAATCTGCAGCGCATGGTTAGACTTTTGAATCGTAATTAGTTCATGGCTAAGCAAGCCAAATTTTGAACTTTCTGTAAGCGGTTAACGTACCATCTTGCAGATGACGCCGGTTCCCATCGGCATGTCTTTTAAGCCGTACATCCAATAATCTCCTTCCCGGGCGTAGAATCCCGGAGAGGTAGTCTGTACCAGTGACTGGACTCTTGATATCTTGTCCTAATTTCTTCTCCACGGTCAAGTTTTCTGGGTATTCAATGCCACAGCCACTGGTAAAGCCATTTCCGGTGCTAAAGACCTCAAGGAATTGGTCGTGAGTTAGACCTTCCACACCGTCCTCTCCAGACCCTATCTTGCCTGAGAACATGGACGAAAACGCACGGTCGAATTCAATGAGTTCCTGCGCGATCGTGTGGCGTTCTACATGATACGTGTCCAAGACAGAATCAGGTTTCCCGGATAATGCAGAATCTGGGGTGAGGCCATTGATGGAATAGGCCAGTTTCCACGCCAGATTGTATGAGTCCATCATAGAAACGTTCATTCCTTGTCCAGCCTGTGTCAAAGCAAATCAGTAATGTAGATAGATAAAGCGTATTGTCACGTACCTTAGGGCTATGGGTATGGCACGCTATCAATTTGAAAAAAGAATATGTCAGCCAGGTGGACTTCAAAGCTTATCGGCATTCTTGAGCCCTACCATCTCCTACAATGAACACCCGATTAACTCCCTTGGAATCCTTGACCGTAAAGTTATCCGATACTCGCTGGCCGATCTGGTACGCGGCCCACCAGTCCACGGCCCCATTCTCTTTCGGTCGAATATAATATGGCTTGAACGCATCCTCTGCATATTGGAAAATGCTTTCCAAGGTAACCTTACTTCTCCGAGCCCGAGCATCGGCCTTTGGAGTGGTAGTCCCATTGACGGGAACCTCTTCCGCGTCCGGCATAGCTTCCTCCGGCACCTGGACATAAAGACGAGTCAAATAGTCACCAGTAGCGATGCGCTCACGCGGGATGACCATCACCGAACCCGCTGGTGAGTGAATGGCACACCGTCTCCTGATGTCCGGAAAATCCGTATCCACGACCAGATCAACCACACCCCAGATATGGTCCAAAGACTCGCCCACTAGCTGCAGTCCCATGCAACGGCGGACCATCGAATGCGCCCCATCGGCACCAACCAGGTGCTTCGCGCGCACGGTTCTGCGCTGTCCATCCGTTTCTAGGTCAGCAACAACAGGGAACTCAGGATCTCCAGCTTCATCGATCCTGGCATCAAGAAGTTTAGTATTACGCTGGACACCACGTTTCGAATACCGCAGCAAATCCGTCTCTAGAATCCGTTCAATTCGACCTTGGTGAATAGTCACTTCATGCTGGTACCGCGCCGGAACAGCGACATCTGGAACTATCGATGTTCTTTCGATTATCTCGTCCTTGTTCGCGGAAGGGTTCCAGAATGCCACCTCTTCCATGTGGCATCCGTCGTTCAGGATCTCATCTGCGACTCCGAGGGACTTCAACACTTCCAGCGTGCGAGGTTGTAGACCATCAGCTTGGCCTGATTTGAGAGTTCCGGGCTTCGCATCAACACAGAGCAACGAGTCGTCGCTGAGCCCGTATCGTGCCAGGAGCAGGTCTAGCATGAGTCCCGCTGGACCAGCGCCAACAATGACCACTTCATACTTTTCTGTTTGGTCGTCCCGAGTAAATGGTGACGAGAGGCGGGGCAATGGAGGGGCAAACGAGGGGAGCACACGCAGTTCCCGCGACGCCGCAGAGTATTCGGTGAATACAGGCATGGGAGAGGATCAATTGGGATGTTCGAATTGTGATCGATCAAGGGATCAATGGATGTATGAGGGGCGAGCGCAGAGACTCGAAATTTATCCATTTATCTCAAGCTAGAATGGTGGTAGAAATATAGCGATTAAAGGTCTCCAGATACCCCAAATGGGACATCCTCCCTATCCCCACCCGTGAGTGGGGCTTCAGAATGCGTGGGATGCTTTGCTCTCGATTATTGAGAAGGGCAATTAACCCCAGCCTCGTGATTGGCTTCGGCCCCAGACTATCCCCAGTTTTCGGCGGGGACGTTGCTGCTGACTGTTGATTACTTGAACATCACCAATTTCTCTGATCGTCATTTCATACATAGTCAAGCATTTATGTGGCATAGTGAAAATCAGGGGTCAGGCTATGGCGCCGTTGCCTTGCAGATAAGAACAGTAGACCAAAGAAAAGGATGCGTGGATGTACAGTAGTGCATACCAGGCGATATAGGTCACCTTCTAGGAGGAGGTTAGTAGTGGAGGCACACGAGAGGCCCATGACAATATAATACGGTAAGTTAGCATGACAGTACAATACCCAGAAATGCCGTGTCGAAACGCTACTAGGGGTACCTGCCGGGGGTTCTCCGATGCCAATAAAGTTTAAAACTTCTAACAAGATTGGACAGGGATATCTTCTCCAATGAGAGAACTTGTCCATACGCGCCGTAATTCCGCCCTTCTTGAATGGATGGAGTCTAGATCTACAGACATTCCTTTTTTCCTACACCGTATGCAGTTCACTTCCGCTCAGTGCCGTACGGATTTACGGATTAATGCAAGTACATACAATGCGCAATCCCAACAATAGCATCATCACCATCATCATTGCACTGTTCAAACGAAGTGACCCATGATTCGATCCACCGTCTGCACTAGCTCATTCGGTTCAATGCCACACGACCATAATGCCATCCCGGGGAGGAGAGCACATCAACTTTCCACCCCCGCAATTTATCTTAACCACGGGGGATTCCCGAGACCTGGGGTGGATGGAGTATCCACTGGTTTTCTTTTACTGTACCTCGGGTTGCGGGGATAGAACAGGATTTTGTTTGCTGTGAAAACTTATTTCACAAAGATAATTGTATTGATTTTGTGCAATACCAATTTTTTGTTGTTCACACTCTAACTCGGGATTGGTCGCATATGAAATGTCCCACAAGATGTGATGAGCTGGCAGCACCTATAACAAACGGTGTTAAGGGCTACTAGATATCAAGCCCGAAGAACTACTTGCCACGGAAAGTTCGCTACGATCATGCAGCGTTCCTTGTGTCTAGGTGCTCACGCCGTAGTTTTAGCTTGGTAAAGCATGTTCCTTATCTACCTATTTGACTGGTCAGCTGCTGTCAACACGTATATGGCAGAAAGAATACATCTGTGGCTCAATTGAACAAGCAGCATTGAATGAACCGGTCCACACTAGTAGCCGAGGCTACTGTACGAAGTTTTCCTTAGAAGGTTCACTGTAGGAATTTTCGTTAAGTATCTCGGAAAATCAACCCTTAAGATGAGTCGCCATTTGTTATTCTCCCCGAACACAGGCCTACCCGGGGGGGAAATGGGGACACGGGGAGGAGATCGGCAGTCGAGCTCCATTTGTGGGGATATTTCAGGCAGTTGGTGGGTGTAAGAGAGATATTTGGGTTCTCTGAATGGCTATAAGGCTGCTCTGCTGCTGACCCGAACGGTCTATAAAAGCCGGCCACGAGGCACATACGGCATTCCTGACCTGCGCTTTATATAAGTGTTCGCAACGCTAGAAGCCAGTCTCGAGCCTTCGTACACTCTTCTTTTGCACTGCCAGATTTGACATATACCCCTTAGTCGTTTTTACTGTCTTCACTGACCCCTTAAGCGGGAACCTCAACTATGTTACGTCTGCTGGCTCGAGCTGCTAATGTTGAGACTACTCAGAAAAAGCCGGAATCAGCTAGCAAATGCTTTGTTGAACCACGCTCGGTTGACGAAAGTCGTGCTCTAAGGGTCATCATCATTGGATCAGGTATTTCCGGGATCATCTCTTCCATCCGATTCAGACAACGAATTCCCAATGTGAACATTTGTGTCTATGAGAAGAATTCAGACATCGGAGGGACCTGGTATGAAAACAGATACCCGGGCTGTGCATGCGGTGCGTCTAACCTCCCTGTCCGGCCCTATGTTGTGCTATCAGTTGTCCATGTCTAATACAGGTTGTTCGAGCAGATATCCCCGCCCACACCTATCAAGCTACATTTGAACCAAATAAGGAGTGGTCAACCTTCTATGCCTCAGCCCCTGAGATCCATCAATACTGGAAACGGGTGGCACACAAATATGATTGCATGAAGTATGTCAAGCTCAATCATGAAGTCGGCGAGGCGGTGTGGGATGAGCAAAAAAGCAAGTGGCAGTTGCAGGTAAAGATGAATCGTCATCTTCTCCTTATTCCCAAATGACGGTGACTTACTCATTCTTATAAAGATTCGAGACATCAACGGCGGTTCAACATTTTCAGACCAGTGCGATGTACTTATCTCAGCCACTGGGGCTCTAAACAATTGGAAATGGCCCAACATCCCTGGTCTCCATGATTTCAAAGGAAAGCTTTTGCACAGTGCTTCTTGGGACCAGAGCTATGATTATAGCGTAAGATAAAATTCGGTTGAAGTCTGCGTCGAACCATGGCTAACAAGCTCATATACAGGGTAAGAAAGTCGCGGTGATCGGGAACGGTTCTAGTGGGATCCAGATTGTCCCTGCAATGTTACCAAAAGTCGCACGTCTTGACCATTATGTAAGAGGCCGGACATGGATCGCGCCCACATTCGCTCGTGATGAGATCGATAAACGGGACGTTGAGATAGAGAATTGTACGTACTTCCTTCCCGCTAGTCTTGTAGCGTGCTAACGGTTTCTGGTAGTCTCGTTCACTCCGGAGGAAATCGAAACATTCAAGAAGGATAATCAAGCATACCAACGATTTCGCAAAGGTAAGATAACAGCATGTCATATCCGCCGAGAACTCGTTTTTGTAACCTGATACTCAGAGATTGAACTCGAACTACAATCCGTCCATGGTACCACTATTTTAGGTACACCGGAACAGGTCGAAGCCAGGGAAGTGTTCCTGGAGAATATGAAGCGGCGACTATCGAGAAAACCGGAACTTTTAAGTGGTTTGGTGCCGTCTTTTCCTCCTGCCTGCCGCCGCTTGACACCCGGACCTGGCTACCTCGAAGCCTTGACGGATGATAATGTGAGCATTATCAGCAGCACTATTGTCCAAGTAGATGCCGATGGGATCATCACAGCCGATGGAACACATCATCCCACTGATGTTATTGTTTGTGCCACCGGCTTCGACACTACATTTTCACCGCGATTCCCGATAATCGGACGTGAAGGCATATCTCTGGCAGACCGCTGGCAGAAGACTCCAGAGAATTATCTCTCGATGATGGTTGATGGGTTCCCCAACTACTTCATTAGCCTAGGGCCTAATTCAGCACTCGGGGAAGGCAACCTCTTGCTCCTCATCGAGAAGGCAATAGATTATTTCACATTTTGTGTCCAGAAGATGCAACGAGACAATATACGAGCACTAGCGATAAAGAAAGAGGCTGTCAATCGGTTTACACAATATTGCGATCAATACTTTGCCCAAACAGTTTTCGGACAGAAGTGTCGCAGCTGGTACAAAGGGGGAGCCGAGGATGGTAGGGTGGTAGCTCTGTGGCCTGGTTAGTATGCCTTGCTATCCATAAAATGCTTCTAAAAAAAAACACCCATTCAGTGTATTGGTTCAACTACTAACCAGGTGTAGGATCTTCTCTTCATTCGCTGAAAGTTTTTGCACAGCCTCGGTGGGAAGATTTCGCGTATGAGTATGTGAACGATAACCCGAACGGATGGCTTGGGGATGGATGGACGGAAAATGAAAAGAACAAAACAATCCACGTCAACTACTTAGATGACGATCAAATCGATTTCCCGACACAATTATTGAATGCTACCGCAGTGGAAGTGGGGGCGTGATGGACGCATGTCAAGGACGCCGATCAGTGACGAAGAATGCAGCCCCTCTTCAGATACCGATCCTGATATGATTATTTGGGGCTGTAAATATGATGATGTCTTTAGTAGTGCAATAGATTCCGCGCATTAAAGCCTGTTGTTCTTGTTTTGCTGCTCTTCAGGGGTATCGAAGTGGTCGCAGCCTGTAGGCTTTGTTTCACACCTAGTGTCTAGAACTCAATAGTCTGTCCCGTGGCCAGCTAATGTACTATCAGCCCATCACACTATAGTATAGACTTGGTATAGATAGCTAAGTATGGCAGGTGCCATAAAGGACTCGGTATAGGTACCCAGAGAAGGTATAGACCGGATACCCTTGGCGAAGATCATTGTGGATCCCTTCCTTAGAAAGCCGGCAGTGGATTGACGAAACGCTTCCCGTTCACGGCTTTTCAGGAGCCTTTGGTAAGGTATTGAAAATTCAAGCGCTGATGGTAACGACAACACCGAAGCGGACCAATGGGATGGCAAAGCTGACTAGAACAGGAAACGGTTATATTACGTAGTGGAACAGGCGCAGCGTCTGTTTCAGGTAAGTCATGGTAAGAATTCAATGGAATAAGAATCTCATCATTTTCCCATGATTTAGAAATCCCGGTCGATTCTGATAATGGATTTCATGAGACCATGGTTCCCTCAACAGCGAACCTTTTGGATCGTCTTTCTACTCCCAGTCATTCAGTGAAATCATCTCATTGCCTCCATTTGACTTAATTCCCCACTGAATTTCCACTTCATCCGCCCCCCGAAAGGGTCCATTGCATTTCTCTTCCTCTATCACGGTTCACCACACCCCCCCCCCCCTCTCCATTTTACCCCAGGATTTCTTCTCCCCGATGCACGCCAAATTCTCGCCATGAAATCCTCTGCAAGCAAGCACTTCTGCTGTACCATCTGTCAGCGAGGTTTCACCCGCATTGACCATCTTAAGCGCCACCATCTGCGCCGTATGTTCTTCTTTGCGCCTTTGTCTTGCCCCCGGTCTCGGCGACGCTGTGGCCGCCGATGGAAACCTCCCCGATCACAACTAACTGGTGAATTAATTGACTTGCAGATTCCGGAGTAAAGCCATACTCATGTGTTTTCTGCAATGAATCATTCGCTCGTTGGTTTGTAATTTCTCTCTTATCTCTCTCCCTTTGTTTTTTTCCCTCTTTTCTTTTTCTTTTCACTGTTGTTATCCCGTCTAGAGCGGATCCCTTTTAACTACCCAGTCGGTCGCAACAATCAATTGATGGTACTCTCATATAGTGACAATCTACGGGACCACTACGCGGACTGCGCCCAACGAGGAGACCGAAAGATTCCCGAAACTGGACAAAGAGGCAGAAGGCGTCATGCGTGTCAATCGGCAAGTCCATCCGAATTGAAGCCACCAGGCCTAGTTCCTAACGACCTGTCGCAAATAGTGTACGGCGATGAAACTGCGATGCGATGGCTTACGGCCTTGCAGTTCTTGTCAGAAAAGAAACCTCCATTGCAATAACGAGCACCATCAAGCGAAAGATCATGAATTGGGAGGTATAAGCACCACTTATGCACCTCGCTGTTTTCCGGACTGCCTGCTCATCGCTGTATAGGCTCGGCATCTTCCAAGAATGACGACCAAGAACCGTCGTCAGATCGGGGATCAATCAAATTCCTCCTCAATGGAGGCACAGATACTTTCACGGAACACTGGAACCTTCCTCCCAGCAATGACCGACCCCGTACGCTCAACGATTATCAGAACCCAAAGAGTTTTGAGGAAGCCGACAGCTCCATCCTAGAATACACGACAAAGGAGAATTACCTGGAATACACACCAACATACGTTGAGCCAGACCCGTCGACTCTTTCTTTCTTCCACGATACATTTCTCGACTTTTTTAATGGCCCGTTTGGAGATCCCCATAGGTCGTCAAATGATCCGTATACCAGCGGGATGGCGTATCAGCCCATGGCACCCTCCACGCAAGGTTCAGATCTTAGATTCACTGGGCAGCAGCCCGCTTACGAACATGAAGCTCCGTTTGCAAATGCCATGATACAGGCGATTCTGACGAAAGTTTGGTCTCTTCGTCTCGATCCTAAGACGCAGGAAGAGATTTCAGAAAAGTTGAACTTTCTACTGACACCTACTCGCATGCGGAAATATATGGCGTTATACTTCAAGTACTGGCAGCCCAATTGCCCAATGATCCATGTTCCAACGTTTGACCCGAGGACCGTATCGCTGTCGCTTCTCACGTCAGTCTGCTTCATGGGTGCCAAGTATACTGAGGATAAGAGAGAGCTAGACGCCGCACAGCGACTGGTTGACTTTGCGGAACTGTTTGTCTTCTCCAGCGGAATTCTCTCTGGCGAAAATGAGATCAGTTCGACATATTATGGGGTTCGAAATGTTGACGACGAGCCTAGTTGCTGGATTCAATTCCAGAATCTACAGGCTGCATTCCTCATGGTGATATGCCAGTACTGGTCAGGAAGCCGTACGTCACGGAACCGAGCAATGGAGAATCGGTTTAGCGAAGTCATTAAGGTAGGGTTGGTGCAAATCAGCGGTTTTGTTCGTCCGGGCTTACTAGGGACAGGTTGCGCGCAGAATGGGTCTACCCACGTTTCAGCATGGACCCGAGGAGCGTCTCCATGAGTATTTATGGATTCAGAGAGAGTGTCGTATACGGTGCGCCCAGCTACCATCTTTTGATTTCACGATGTCACTAACCACTTGACAGCGCCATCAACTTAATCTCGCTGCTGGACTGCGCATTTTCGTTCTATTCGAATTATCCATGCCGTTTGTCTCATAACGAAATGGAGTGTGCGTTGCCTTGCGTGGAGTCCGTGTTTGAATCGGCGCATCCATTCCAGGAACCTAACTTCGAACTATCCCGAGATATAACCCTTTCTGAAGCATTCCAAAAGTTATTCGAAGAAGAAAGCAGTCGGGCCTCATCACCCTCCACATCCGGCTCTACCGTTGCAGAAACCCTCGCCAAACTCACTGTCTTGGACACATTCATGTTGATTCACTGTAAGTAGATAATATCCTGTATGCCACCATTATCTGACGGGAGACAGTGCTTTACGCTTTCATAAACACGCACATGACACTTCTCGCTACTATATTGCCCAAATCACGGGCCCCGCATTCCCAGCAGATACCCAACTCTCGGGGCTCTAGTATTAGCTCAGCGATACCAGAGGACTCTACACTCGCTTCCATCCGCATAGCACTCTCTCGGTGGCACGACCACTGGACGAGGCTGCGCGGTGCAACCTCCAGCCATGACTGGGCCTCCATGGGCTTTTACAAGAACGGCTACCATTTCTGGCTTGTGTCGCAGCTTCTGATCACCAAGAAAGAGAGTGTGGACGTGGTGATGCGCATGGAAGTGAAGTGTGAGGACAAGCTTGAGCAACTTAAAGTTCTGCTGAAGGACGACAACGAATGACGCTTGATGAATGAGTCACTCACCGACGACTCATTCAATTCTTTTTTGCTTTTTCTCGTTTGTTCTTTTTTGGACAGGCGCTCGCTGTATACACGATGGAATGGGTGCATGATTGTACGATACACTAGAGCATTCAGGCGTTACGAGCACATATACCTAGGTTTAGAGGGACATTTTAAATACCACAGCATAGAGTCAGGGGGAGGATTTACAATTCCAAAATCATTGCGCAGACTTTGTTCCTCTCAGTATCCAACACTCACACATCCGACTAGCTAGATGAAGCACAGTTAACATCCAAGAACTCCTCATCAACCTACACAGTATTAGCATTGCAATCTCATTAATTACAATATGAGCCACTCACATTGGTACAAATGAAATCACTGTTCCCCTTCGGGCTCTTAACGTCGATATTCGTCGCATGAATACCAGAGCAGACCTAAACCGTTAGCATCCCATGTACCATCCTCGAAGCAGCAGCAAAACTCACATCAGGACTCGAACAAATAATCGTTCCCACATTCGGATCATTCTTTTTAGAAGTGACACCCGTGAGATCATTGAAGTAAATATCGCTAATCGTAAGGTTGCTCTGTTTCGAACCAAGTCAGCCAAAACCACCCCTTCCACATGATATCCCACACAGCATCTCCCAAAGGATAGGAAAAGAAAGTCATACCGGGTGCTCATTGCACAACGTCTGATTCTTCTGTCCATAGCACTGCGTAACCTCAATCGCCCAGTCCACGTTCTCGATGTACATCTTGTCGTAGGTGATGTTCTGGACGCTGCCGAGACCACCTCCTCCCTGGAGATCTTCGGACATTGCGGCAGAAGCACCAGGCCAGACCTTGATACGGGCCATGTCCTTTTTGGTTTTGCTCTCGTTAGTAAATTGAGCTCCATTACTAGAATTGAGAGGATGGGGGAACATACAGAGGCATTGTACATGGAGATATTGTAAACGAGGACGTTCTGCACGATGTCGACTTCGCCCGGGTATTGGCCTAGTGAGCCTACGGAGATCCCGTGGGAACCGTTACAATGGAGGTTCTGGACGAGGATCTCGGTACTGTTTGGTTTGAAGGAGACGCAGTCTTTTTGTTCTCGTTAGTATATTCTTTTCTTTCTTTATGGGGCGGGGGGCCTCATCAAGAGGTAAATTGAAGGGGGGATTATACCATCACCGTTGTTAATGACCGAGTTCTGGATAACGATGTTACTAGACCGATACGTATCCCTATCCATCATCAGCACCTCTATCAATCCCAATAGAGATAAACCGAATAACCCCCCAAAAAAAGGACCGGGCGGGGTGGGGGTGAAAGAATGAAAAGGGAAGGAAAGGGAAAAAAAGAAAACCCACCATCCATCCGTATTCTTCGCCTCATGCTCACTACTACTATACCCCCAAACATCAATGCCATCGAACAGCACATCCGAACTATTCGCAACAAGCTGATACCACTGCGGCGAATACCGCAACTTCAGCGGACCGATCGTGCCCCCGTGCAGTCCGATAATGCCGACGAGAATGGGCCGCAAGATGAGCGCATCCTCGGCGTACAAGTCGTACCAGACCTGGCCGTTACCGTTGAGTTCACCGCCGCCATAGACGTTGACGTCTGTGCCACCGAGGTTGAAGAAGGTGGTTGCGTTCTGGAAGGTGTGTTTGAAGGAGTTCTCTTGCCAGTAGTCTGTGTCTGGGGTGAAGGTGATTTTGCCGAGGATTTCTGGGTCGTTATGGTTAGTTATTTTTTTTTTCTTTTCTTTTTCTGTTGGTTTGGTTTGGTTTGGCTTTATATGTAGAAATATCAATGGGGATTAAGTGGTGAATGTTTGTACTGTACATACCCAGATCCACGTGCTTAAGGAAGGTCATGTCCAAGGCTGTGCCAATCGTGTACTCCTTGTCTTCGGCGAAGACGACCTTGCCGCCATTGTTGCATTGTTTTAATGCAGCGAGGATGTATGGTGCATCGTCCGTTCCGTCGTCATTGCTTTGGACATGGCAGGTCTTGTTCCGGGGTGAACTGGCCGGAAGAGGTCGGAATGGTGGCTTGGGTCCGACTGCGTTGGTTCTGGACAGGGAGAAGCCTTCTACCGGTAGGCTTAGGCCTAGGGAGAGGAGGAGGGTTGTTGCTTGGGTGAGCTTCATGGCTCTTGGTCTTGTTATGGTTTAGGAGGTCAATCAATGGCTGGGTTTCAATTCGTGGTGACCCTGTCTAGTACGTAGGTGCAATGGGGATAAGGGTGTTCTACCAAGGGCCTACGGTCTAGACGGAGATAAAGGGGAATATATAGGTTTTATTTCTGGAGAGCAGCCTGATATACTCTAGTACGCATGTGTCAACGAGTCCGGACATTAGGATAAAACCATTCATTTACTTCCCGCCAATCTTCTCTCCAGCGGAAGAATATAAAGTGGGGAGTAGGCTAGGCAATAATATATGTGGTCGAAGCTTTGCGGTATTCATCATAAGACAAGATGTGTCGGAGAAATGAAGGCTGAAATTAACGGATGTTGTATAGGGTTGGGGTTTGCCGCCTCTGATAGGAGGGATAATACGGCCGGGATTAATCCGATTGGGAGGAGAAATTGGTCGATCGTTCCTCCGTCTTGCGTCCCCGGATTCATGGCTGGACTTGTTTATGGGGAAAACATTCAGTTACTCGACTAGGGTTGGTTGAACGCGTTGCGATTCATGTGGAGTGTCCGGGGTCGCTTCAATGTTGGGGTTGGCATGACCTAATCTCACATCTATAGGGCGTATGCGAGTGGATACTATTCATTTATTCGGACTCGGTAGATTTCCCTTCGGTGTATTGTTGACAGTATACTATGTATCTACTATCTTGAGAGGGGAAGAAGAAAAGAGTGATGATCGTCCAACTCTACGAACAAAGTGCATTGCTGTATATAAAGGGCTAGTCGTCTTCGTATTCCGTAGACCAGCGGACTGAATGACCATTGTTCGCCGTTGTGAATTGTTTCCATGTTATCGTTCGGCATTCGATTACATTCACCAGTCTCTTGTTAGCCGGCATAAGTGAAGAAACTTTTTAGATAAATTCGGTTTATCTAACGTCTTCGGTGGGAAGCCAGTGCAGTCCTGATTTAATATATACAAACGAGAACGCCAGTCATGTTGCGTTGAACCAGTAGAACCCCCGAGATATTGTCTATCGAGTGCCAGATGCCCAAATTCACCCAGAAGCTTATCAATCGACGGTCTATATTCCCGATGAGCGATTTCCTTCCTAGACCCTCGTCGGGCCCCCTTGCGTGGTAGAGTCCCATCTAGCGGAACCAATTGAACCGATTTATGCGGACTTCTCAACAGCAGCCTCGGTCTTAGCGACAACCTCCTTCGCCGAGTCAACCACTTCGTGTTCCATCGACTTGACGGCTTCGACGGGAGACCCTTCCAGGCTACGGCGGTAGTTGTAGATACGACCGACCTGAACGACACCAACACATCCGAGGAAAAAATTGACAGCGGCAAGCCTGGACGAGTCAGTACTGTTTATTTTATAGACTGCGCTCTCTGAGATCAACGTACAGGTAGTTTTTCGGGGTGATGATCATACACCAGCGGGTCCAGATGGCACCGGTAGCCGTCAGGGCACCGTTCTGAGTCAAGGACAGCTTCTCGGCGGGGCGGCCAAGATCGGAGATACCGGCGATGACCAGAGACCACTAAGCAAAGTTAGCGATATCCATAGATATATGGTTCGAAAACTGCAGCCGCCGACGCGGTTTATATTTTATTCCTCATTAGGGTGCGTAACGGCGTCCGGCAAGGGAGGGCGTAAATTATACCTTCATGACAGGGGCCCTAGAGCAACAAGTGTTAGAACAGTATACTAAAACAAAGAATTTATACAACTGCCCAGAAATTTAAACAACATACCAGAAATGCACCGTCTTAACGCCAACGGGGCTGTTCCACAAACGCTGGAAAGTGCTCTGTTGCTCGGCGGCGGCGGCATCAGAGCTCTGGAAGCGGCGTCCGGCGCCAAAGCGACGTTGCGCATTGCGGAACGCAGCGCGAGTGTTCTCGAAGAAACGAAGACCGACACGGGAGGACATCTTGAGTGTGAGGAGAGAAGAAGATGGGGAAGGGAGAGGCAAATGCCGGAAGGCGGAGAAGTGGAGATGGGCTCTCAACCGGAGTTTAGATTAGCAATGTAAGGTCGCACCAGAGGATCAAATTTCAACTCTGGGGGGAATAAAAATGGAGGAGTGGAGATTGATTGATAGAAGAAGAAGAAGTAAAGTGAATCAAAAGAAGGATAGGATATCAGATATGAAGCCGACCTCGGCGACCGCCGTCGGGAATACTTCAATCGTTGGGGTTGCGGCTCTTTTCCGGCTGAGGTAAGCGGTGACAATCACGCTTGACCGGATTGGACCACGGCCTCAGACCTCAATTCATCACCGTTTCAATCGTTCGATCACCCCTCCGTTGGCTACAATTGATACCCCAGTTCTGTTTCGATCCGTTTGATCGGGGAAGCAGCTCATTACTCTCATTTCCGATCGCCGTCAGTCCTCCTAACCCGGTCTCCCGTCATCCACCTTTCACAATGTCCGGCAAATACGTTTTCACCAAGGGTCTGAAGGAGCTGCGCTTCCTTTTCTGTCAGACTTCAGAGCACAGCGCTCCCACAAGGTGTGTTCGGAGATTTGATATCTGATCAGGCATGGCGTGGGATTCATAAATAACACCCTACAGGTCCTTCCTGAAGCGCGCATATCCCACCATGAAGAAGCACAACCCTCACGTCCCCATTCTGATGCGCGAGGCCAGCGGTACTCAGCCTAAGGTGTATGCCAGATACGGTATGCTGCAATCGTAAATTCAATGGCGAGCGACGCAGGAAAAGGCTAATACAGGAGTGATATACAGCATTTGGCAAGGAGCAACTCGAGCCATTGAACGGTAGGAGATCATTTGTTCTAATCGGTTTTGACTCCATTACTGATGCCAGAGCTATACAGGCTTGTCGGATGCACAGATCGAAGAAAAACTTACCAAGCTCGTGAAGGAGTCGTCATAGCGAATTTTCCGCACTTCCGTATATGTCCATGCATCGTGTTCAAATCGTCAACCATTGTATCTATAGATGAATTGGAAAATTCAGTTTACTTCGAACAATCAAGGAACGCCTGGAATCTCTTCTATTTTTACCATCTAATTCACAGAGAACTACTACTGTTGGCTACCTGACCGAATCTAAACTGCGCCCAGCTCATACTGCCCTCACCCATCGTCCACAGCCTCTTGCCGACATCGTCTCCCGCAGCTCCGGCGCCAATGTGGATGGGAAGCAGATGCTCAAAAGTTGGATGTGCCTGCCGAGCATCGGGTCTCTTCAACAGATCCGCCATAGCCTGTTCTCTTTCCGCCGGGGGAGCCGTTGCCGCTTTCTTCAACGCCTCGTCAAAGCTGGTAGTGTACGGCAGCGGTCGCGAATCGTTCCTGGAGAACCACAGATCGCGCAGGTTGTGGACCGCCATTCCGGAGACGATGATGAGGATATTTTCATCGCGGAGGCTAGACACGGCCTGTCCGAGCCGGTAATGCGCGACAGGATCTTCATTGTTGAACAGCGAAACCTGCACAATGGGCACGTTCAGCGGGTTCGACTCAGGCTCGAACGCTATATGCTATTAGTTCTCGTCCGCCGAATCAACCACCATCTCTCGCAAAGGAAATATACCTACCACACTTGAAACTTGCCCACACGCCATGATCCAATCCTCTTTTCACACCTTCCGCCTTGATGCCCGCTTTTCCGAGTAGATCAAGCACCTTATTCGCAACCTCCCTGCTCCCCACATTGGGATACTTCTCCTTGTAATAATGGCTGGGGAAACCGTAGAAACTACGTGAAAGTCAGCACGCATCTCACACACCACTGATATCCCCACCCAAAAAATCTCAGAGCACAAAGAGGGTACAAAAAGAAAAAGAAAAACATACTCATAAATCAAATCCGTAATCTCCGCCGTATTAACCTGAATCATATCCCTACCTGCCTGCCAATGCGCCGAGAAAACTACCACAGCCTTCGGCTTCACCTTAGTCGTAATCTCCTTCCCAATCTGGCCCAGCTTCTTATATGCCGGGTGATCCGTCTGGTACATGACATTCGGCTTTAAAATATAGAAAAATCAGCATTTCCCTCTCACTCTCTTTTTAAAACCTCACAGAAAAGAAGAGGAAAAGATCAATGACATGGAAACCTTACACCCCCATGGCTCAAAAAGTAAATCGGAGTTCGACTCATCTTCTCACTACTACTGCCACCAGCAGTCTTGCGGGACGCTGCTGTCTTTGAGATCTCCCTGCTAACTGCGGGAGTAGTAGTTGTGAAGAAACGTTTAAGACCGAACAGATTGGCGGTTTGGGAGGTCAGGTGCTGCTCCTCTGTTGTCTTGTTATTGTTGTTGTTGGTATTGTAGCCTATGAAAAAGGCGAGAGATACTGCGATGAGAACGGTAAGGATGGAGAGCGCGGTTAGTGTGGAAGAGGGTTTTTTGGTCGCTTGTTGAGTTGGGGTTGTGGTGGGTTGGGAAGACATATAGTGGTTATCTCTTGGGGTTTTGGGGGGGGTGGTATATAGAAGAGGGAACGTGGTTTTGTAGGTAAGTTTTGTGTAGGTATCTGGATCGGATTGGATGGATTTGTATACAATTATATATTGTAGCCAATGGTTATGCGAGCTTGGATTGCAAATTGTAAGCAGTTGTCAGCCGGATGCGCGGAAGTGCGGAATCGGTCCGCTCCGGGGGATTTTGGTACTTGGTTTTGTGTATGTGATTTGTGTATATGTATCAAAGTGGTGCATATTGATGATTAATAAAGATTATCATTCTATGTGCATGCAGTGTATTGTATTTGTATTTATATTAGTATTAGTTTCTTTGGAATCTCGCTCTATGTTCTGCAAGCACATAAGTTATGGGGTATACATCATATGGTATTCGTCAAGTCTTCCATATCCAACATTTCAACCATGTGCAGAATATTATTTCCAACCGGGCCGAAAGAAAATAAAGATAATGCAAATGGGATATAAAAGAAAAGAAAATGTTCGTGCATCAGACATTAAATCTATAAACACCCCCCGTTCTGACTTCACATGAGAATGCAGTCGCCTTCGTTTTGCTTCTGTTGGTTGGCACCAGACCGAGAAAGTCGAGCTTTCTGCATCCGAGCTCCACCCTTCTTGAGTTCTTCAAGCCGTTCGCGGGCTTTCGGGAATCCTTGAGCTGTTTGGTAGAATAACGTTGATTAGCAATTGTACCAAAGTGATAGGACTGCAAAATAACTCACCCGCTGCTCGCCAATACCATCGCTTAGCATCCTCCATATTGGCGGTGACACCGATTCCAACTTCGGTATAGTAGCCCATCGCATATTCTGCCTTTGCAAGACAGGAAGTGGCGGCTTTGCGTGCCCAGAGGTAAGCTTCCGTGTCGCTCTGCTGCAGAATCCCCTCCGCGCCAGTCAGATACCATCCGCTCAGGGCAAGCTCACTTTGATGCTCGCCCTGCGCTGCCGCATGAGTATACCAAAAGATACTCTGCCGGGGGTCCACGGGGCACCCCAGCAACCCATACTCGTAAGCGGTGGCTAATTGGAACTGGGAGAACTTATACCCTAGTTCGGCAGCTTGATGGAACAGTTGACTAGCATACGCCTCATCACGAATGACGATGTCATTCGGACCCGCATTGGCATACATGAGCGCAAGTTCATGCAGTGCGTGTGGGTTCTCGGGATCGGCCCGTTCTGCGGCACGCTTCAGCCATGAGATACCCTCGCGAGGGTTCTTGGCTTGGCCGAGAAGCCCCTTAAGCATAATCATTCCCATCTTGTACATCGCTGGTGGGTCCCCCAAGGATGCAGCACGCTTATACCAATGTACTGCCTTGAACGGATCCCGTTTGGTGCCGCCGCCTTCTTCCGCGCCAATTTCGCAACACACAGCCGTGCGGTATGCCGACTGTCCATGCCCTTGCTTGGCAGCAGCCTGGTACAAGTGGAAAGCCTCCTTGTGATCAACTTGAAGACCCAATAATCCTTGACCGTAGCAGTCCGCCAGGAAAAACTGCGCGTCAGCGTATCCGCTGGACACAAGCTTTTTGACGATTTTGTACGCATCCATCGCATACTTTTCCTTCGCTTTCGCCTTGGACTTGGGATCTAATCGACTACTCTCAACCAGTACCACCGAGGCCTCGGCCAGCTTCTTGGCGAGTAACAATTGGGTCTTCTTGTCCGACGGATTGCTCTTGACCACCCGCTGCAATTGTTGAAGTTCTTCTTGCGTCACGGGTCCGGCGGGTGAATCAACCGGAGGGCCTTGCTGCGCAACAGCAGGAGGCGGTGCGGAGTCAGCCGCGCTGTTGTACTGGCGTACAGGTGCTGGTTTGTTACCCTGATCGTGCCCGGGCCGGAAAGGCGCCGGATGATGAGGTAGCGCATCGGGGTTTTGCTCGGGATCTACCGGGTCCATCTGATTCACTGCTGGTGGTGGCGCTTCATTCGCATATGCGAGCTGGTTGGCCCGGTACGGCTGAGGAGGTCCATTGCTGCGAATAGAGCCATCGCGGCTTGCGTACCCAGTCTGGCCATCGGGGTATGCATTCATTTGCGACCCCCAGCTACCATGCTGTTGTTGGTGCGGAGTCTGCATCGGATCTTCATAACCGAATCCGTAATCCATCCCCTCCTGGTGCTGGGCAGCGTGTGCTGACGCAGGGAGGTCGAAGTGAAACCCTGCATTCTCGAACTGATTTGGCACAACCCCTGGCCTCACCTCCGGCTGAGATTGAACATGATGAACTTCGGTCGGCTGCGAGCTGAATGCCGCATACTGGCCCTGGGGAGCGGAAGGAGCAGGTGTTTTTGGTTTCGGTTGCTCTAATCCGGGTAAACTTTCGTCGAATGCACCACCGTGGCCGCCATCCGGCATAGCATCGAAATTAGGCATGTCGGGTTCATCCGCATGGGCCGTGCTATAATAGCTATCTAGTAAGGCGTCGACATGAAGAGACTTGTGTGCATTGGCCTTTGTGGCAAATGTGGGGTCTTGGTATGTTGCCTGTCCGGGATACATTGGCTTAGCCACAGGCGGGGCCACCGGTGGTGCCATTGTCGGCGCAGCTGTAACAGGCATGGTTGCGCTTCTGTTGATATGTGGTATCGGCGGGGGTCCATTAGGGTCGGTATAAGATCGCTCGCTCCGCTCACTCCGATCAGACCGTCCGGTCGACGGGCGCCCTTGGCTCGCAGACCTTACGGGGCCAACAGGGTAGTCTCCCCTACCTCGTCCAGCGGAACCAGGGGGCGGCTGTCGAGGCATCTCCTGCCGTCGTCCGTGCGATGTATGTGGACGGTCTGGCATCGTTACGGGCGACATTGGCGCATTTAGATCCATTCTCGCCATTCCAGTCTCAATTCCTGTTGAGGTTGAGCCGGACCGGCTGCGTGGCTCCTGGGAAGGAAACATCGGGAACGGGTTGTCCCATGTTGCGTTGGAGGCGGGCGGCATAGGACGGGGGGCTGGCATACGATCAGTACTTGATTTAAGGACCCGTTCGATGCGAAATGTCACTCACGAGGCCTTGAGCGATCTTGCCTTGGCGGCACTCGCCTGTCACCATAGCCGCGAGGCGCATCGTATCGATTTGGCGGTGGTTGACCTCTTGGCGCATATCCGCGATCAGGTCGTGACTCCATGGGAGGACCATAGCCTCCCCGAGGTGGACGTGGAGCACCTCGTGGGGGTCCATATGATCTCGGGACCGCTTGATCACCCGGATAACCATATCCTGCATCGTCATAGCCTCCACTACCAGGTGGGTAAGGGCCGCTGTCGTAACCGTAATCATAACCCTGGTCAAAATACCCGTCTTGCGGCGGGCCTGCGGGCCGAGAGGGACGAGGGCCGTAGTTTCGCACGGGTGGAGGCCTCTGCGCTGGGCGCTGAGGGTAAGCCATGACAAAGCTCAAAGCTTCGGTTACGGAGATGGTTGTCGTTCAGTAAAGAGAAACGGGTTAGTTTTCTTTGTCCGGCTGGGCATCAACTAATTCGATGCGGGTCTGTGTCACGCCTTTCGTTCTCATCCACTACGTATCTATCTACCGGAGGTCAGCTGGTGGGTGCATTTGTGTGAAAGGTCCAGTCAGGGCAAGTTGAAGGGGGGGGGAAACGGTAGAAGCTTACTGGAACCACGCGACAGCAAAAGAATGAATACCAGCCCCTCTAGTCGAACAAGCGCAGCAGAAGTATGCGATAACGAACCAATCAATGAAATCCGCGGGCCTGGAACAGGAAATACATTGTCAGCGGGCAGTCTTTTGGCGCGGAGGGCTTGGAAAAGCCGAGTGCGCGATGGGAGCGTCAATGCGCCAGGACAACCAACGTGTTCGAAGGTAAATCAGAACCGCAGGGGGAGGGGGACTAAGGGATGCTTCTCCGAAGGAATGAAGGAGACGTAGCAACGGAGGGATCGAAATCAAACTGAAAAGCAAAAACAACTGAACGACAAAGTCCCTGTGGTTTGCGGGAAAAAAAGAGCGTGTGACCACAGAGGGGGTGAATGAGGGTGAGTTTTATTTAAGAGGAGATAAAATGGATTAAAATGGGATGTCCGGATGGAGCCGCGGAGGTTTGTATGGATGTGTGTAATTACTAGTCAGTAATTTTTAATATCCGGGACTGAACCGCGCAGGTACCCACGAATAACAATGGGGGGTTCAAAATACACAAGGAATCGGATTATCCTTTCTAGCATGGAAGACTTTAAATGAACGACTCCTGCCTTCTTCACTGTCTGCCTAATTTTACTTCCGCCGCAGGTGACTTGTTCTCAGGGACAGTGTTGGTTCTTCTCTTGTCCCCACATCCTGTCCCGCAATCATTCTCTGGTGTTTTGATTGTTTGATATCACTGTCCCACTTGTTGCAGCGTGGTTTTCACACTTGAGGGCCTGACATCCCCTAAGCACATTTAGTGGATTCTTTAGTATTCTTTCCCATGTGTAGTGGGGAAGTGGGCCCAATGAAGTAATAAAATTCATGAACACAAAATGTAGGTACCCGGAAAAGTAAAAAAAAAAAAAAAGGAGTAGAATACTGAGAAACCCCGTTAGTTGCAAGGATAGTAGCCAAAAATTCGCCTTGCAACTAACGGGGTATTGCAACTAACGGGGTTTTTACTATGATTGGCCGGTAGGCTCACCGCCTGCAACACCACTAAATAGAATATATATATATATAGAAAATGAAGCTATTCAGAACATAGAACGTTTCTATACACGCTTATCCTAGTAGATCTACTGCCTACGTAGCTTATACTTTTTAGAAAGTGGGTCCAGAGTAATCACGTGCCCCGTTAGCTCAGTGGTCTAAACCACTATGTACGTAGGAAGCTGATGACGTATGACAGATACTACCGCTGAATAGCCAACTCCTACGGGTTTTGGCTTGCAGGTGGACAGAGCCAGTCTGATTCCTGGACAGTGAGGCGACAGGGGCATCATTCTTTTGTCGTTTGAGCGTCCTGGGAGCGTCGATGAGGCGTCCAGAAATGTTGACAACGTAGACGAGAGCTGGTTTTGAACCGGCGCTCTTTTGACGTGCAGACTGTATAATCAACGACTAAGCAGACGACTAAGCGGGGTGTCAACCGTAGAACATGCGTATATCAGTCTGACGTTGACGCTCGACCTTCTTCTGTATAAGCGTCTTTTCATAGCGTGTAAGCAACTGAATAAGCTCTGTGTTGCCCTCAATCTGTTGCTCTTCAAAGAGTCGGAGTTTATGAAGACTTTCCAAGGCTTCAGAGGCAGGTATTAAGGGAAGAGGTTCATAGAACTCATCTTCATCTTCAGACAGCTCACTGCCAGGCTCATACTGGATCAGGATAGCATCATCAATGTCCAGGATACTGTCATCGACTGTTTCTTCCACAGGATTAAGAAACTGATTGATATCCATCAGTTCCCTTATATGATTTGCAAAATGTAGCTGTTGAAGCCCATTCTCAATCTCTTTGGTAAGTTCCTGATTAGCAATTTGTTGAGTATCTTCAATAGTAAGAGCCTTCTGAAAGCAGTTCTTAATAGTATCATTTTGTATCTCAAGATTCCATATAGAGATACCCCATCGAACTGCTCGAAGAATTGTCATTGTTGATATTGGGTTAAAGCCATTATCAAATTGCTCTACCATAAAGGAAACCCAGTGTCGTTTCCAGTATGTCTTCCATGTAGAGATAATGCCTTGATCAAGAGGCTGATAGCGTGTAGTTGAATTAGCTGGCAGCCATACAAGAAACGTATTCTGTAGTTCATGGCCTATTTCTTCAAAGGCAGTCTCATGGGCAGAGAAATTGTCCATTAAAAGAACAACTTTTCGGCCAGTCATCTTCCTATCAAACCATAGAAGCCATTCCTTGAAGATTGTACCAGTCATCCATGCTGTCTTATTATAACGCCAAAAGCAGCCTAGATTCTCGACATTAATTCGTGCTGCACGGAAGGCTCTAGGTTGTTTAGCTGTCCCAATAAACCAGATAGGAAGACGCTCTGAGCCATCTGAATTGCAACAAAAGTGAGCAGTAATACGGGCTTTTTCCTTTTTCCGGCCAGGAATTTGACCAGTAGTTAAGCTCCGGTCTGGAAAGAGTCTCCAATTCAGCCCAGTCTCATCACAATTAAAGATATCTTGAGGTGCGTAGCCTTGTAGAGCCTGACGTATTCCAATCATCTCAGTAGCTGCACTCTCAGAAAGACTTCCACCTTCACCATGTAGATCTCTGCATTTTATATTCCGGCGGGCTTGAAATCGATGAAGCCAACCATTACTGAATCGAGGCATATTCTTTTCGGGATAGAGCCTGGCCCAGAATTGCATAGCCTTCATACGAACAACGTCTTGTGTAATCGGCACACGGCCTTCAGCCCGCTGGATCCACTCGAAAAGGCTTGCTTCTAGCTCTGGCCAGTGTTGTATTCGACGCCGGGTCTGCTTGAGGTCTTGGGAGGAAGGATTATCGAGGTATGCGTATCGAGGTGAAAGGGTTCGAGATACTGTGGACTCGCTTATTGTCTCATTATAATTCTGCTTAAACCACTCAGCAAGTTGTGTTAGAGTCCAATAAGGCTTTAGAACGTGTTGAGCTCGCAGGGCAGCCTTCTGGCTACTTGTTTTGCTAGGATTAGGCATTCTGAACGATAAGATAATGACGTTGAATTAAGATTTTTAATACCCCGTTGCTTGCAAAATTGTATGGGCAGTTGAAATTATGGTTGCAAGTTGCAGGTTATCGGGGTTCCTGCAAATTTGTATGGGGAATCAATGTGGCCACCGTGGCGCTTGCAACTAACGGGGTATTGCAACTAACGGGGTTGCAACTAACGGGGTTTCTCAGTAGTCAAAAAATTATTGATTTCAATTTAGGGTAAATGGTATCGGTCTCTGTTGGTATTTTCCATAACAGCCATTTCAGGGTTTTTGCTTTTCTTTTTCTTTTCTTTTTTGTTCCTTCTCGCTACAGGTGGATTGTATTCTCTGTATTTTGCAACATCCGTTTTCTATGAAAAGTGGAGAAAGCGGTAACAGCCCTTGAGTATCGAGTAGTTTAGTATCGTTCCCAAGGCTGCTAAGATGCAATGTCATCCCAATCAGAAAGACCCCGGTGCAAGTTCACTTCTTGGCGAGTCCAATAACTCCCCTCCCCTCCGTCTTTGCATGGATGCCCTCGGCGCAAACCATGGGCCAGCGGTTACCTGACGTCCCGATAACCTTGTCCTAATTATAGCTTTCTTTCGTCCTGATAATGGCAATCAATAAGCGATAGGTACCGAGTACAAACCTGTACTCCTCCGTATACATCGCTGAAACAACTTGCGACTAGCGATCTGATGCAAGAAATGCACCAATTGAACGGATAAATTCGTCATCCAATCTATTTACCTCCATCCATCTGCGTCTAATCATATATTGTCAATCGGGCGTCAAGTAATAGGGGTTAGTCTCATGGAATGTTCCGTATTACTCGTAATGTCCACCCCCCTGCCTCTTAGGGCAATTCACAGGAGGTTAGTACGAGTACGATGCTGTAGAGACCAAGCAGTGTATGAAAAAAAAAAAAAAAAAAAAAAAAGGCGTGACAGAGGATCTCAATTTCGAAACGCAGGGGAGTATGTCCGGTGCTTTTAATGTCAATGATTCGTCAATAATAAACGTCTTCTCTAACCATTGCCTACTGTATGACGTTGAATTGGTTGTCTCGTGTTGCTGCTCACTCCTTACATTGCTTACATTCTATCCCTTGACTAAACTACAACCGTTGCATAGTTTTGTCACCACGTTTGTATCAGATAGGCCCCTGCCGAAATTCTCTCTTCGATCCAACCGTTATACACGCGACATACTCTGCAGCGAACAGGGTAAGTCATGAAAATAGTGACTACTCCGTACAGATCAGCCTCGATACCTTCCGAACATGACAGTATCCGTGAATGAGATAATAGAAATGCCTAAAACAGCATCTACTCCAGTAACTAGCAAAAGGTAGTGATTAATAGTAGAAACAGTTAACCTAGTGTCAGAAGAGGTGGAGCGTATGAACTTTTTTTTTTTGTTTTTATTTTTTGTACCCTTTTTTTGTTCCCCCCTTCACAGCGGAGTTCTTCTCCCATCCCACTAAAGTTTGCATCGTTTGCCAGATCAATCCGCCCTGTCTGCGCCACCCTTCCATACCCGCACTCGCCTCAAACAAAAATCTCAGCCACATCCCGACTCGCCGAACCACCGATGATGCTATTCCGTTTCCACCCAATTATGCGCAGCCTATTATTTCTCTCTCCCGATTGAGCTGCACCTTGCGCGTGGATCTACCTCCCACACACACACCTGCAATAGAACTCCTCCTACTCCATTCATCAGGGTTCAAAAGTAGTTAACCAATACATATCGACAAAATCTGACATCATTGTCTCGGCAATTCCATCCGCGCAGCTTAAACTTTCTTCCTTCCGTCACCATGTCCAAAGCCGGAACTTGGATAAAGATGTTCGTCGTGTAAGTTTACCTTTTCTTTCTGTGAATTTTCTAAATATCAATATCCGACGGAAAAGCTGATGGGATATTATTATTCTAGCGGCACAGTGATCTGTGTCGGCGGCCCCGCTCTCGTCCAATCAATCCGTCCTACCGATGAGGAATTGTTTAAGCGGTATAACCCCGAGCTTCAACGGCGGAGCTTGGAGGAGGGAGATCGTCGTGCGCAGGAATTCGATGATTATGTGAATCGGTTGAAGCAGTGGTCTAAGTCGGATAAGTCGAGTATGTTTTGTTCCCATCTATCTGGGGTGAAGTGGATATAGATTGGAAGATGGTCGTCGGGCTAATGAGGTCTGGAATAGTCTGGGTTGCGGCTCAGGAACAACAGGAACAGATGCGGACACAGGCTGCGGTGCAGCGGAGTCAGGTGAAGGATGAGGCGAAGGCACAGCGTGAGGAGATGCGTAAGGAGTTGCTGGGTGAGAAATGAAAATCTCGTGGATATGTGTGGTGGTTCAAAGGAATATCGGGTCTTGGCTTTACCCCCAGATATATACCTTTATCTTGTACTTATACCCATGGTCACTGGGCCGAGGGGAGTCAAAAGCTTTGTGCATGAATCATGGGCGAGTCTTTTTGCCGGGAGTTTTTGGTTGGGCGCTTTCTTGTTTGCATATATGAAAGAATCTGGATGAGATGATTGTATAGTATTCTCTACAGGCGTATTCTCTGTTCTCAATCTATTCTGTGGCTGCAATCTATCTTATGCAGCGGGTAACTGTATGACCAGTTCGAAGTAGAAATACGCTTGCGTTGATATTTTGTCTTGAGATAAACATATCATGATAGCTGAATGACAATTGTTCTTGTGATTTACCGAGTACTACAAATGAGTGCCGTATAACAGACAGAATCAATGTGAAATCACATAGAGCCAAGTTCCAGATGTTCGACAAATGTGAAAGGCAAAACGCTCACAGCAAGAAGCAAACATTAAGACATTCTATTATTCGATCCAGAGCCAAATCTAGATCCAGTAGCTGTCGCCAAGATGGTGATATATAAGCAAGCCCATGATGAGCAAGTAGTGTCCAGGGGATAAATAACCGTGTTCTATTATGCATCGTGCAAACTTCGGTATGAGGTCGATATAATGACTATCGCCCACTCTGTTGGTTGAGTCCAATCGATAACCTTAAGCAAGTAATAAAAGCTCCATATCACAACACCTTTGTCTCGTTGATCTGATCTTCAGATGTGTGGTAAAAGGTCAACATGCAACAATTCGAGACCTTTTCCTCTTAAAAGTCTAGAGCTTGAATTTCAAAAATGATCCCAGAGGCCTCGCATATGAACCTCAGGAATGCTACACTCAGTATTTGTACCACCATTGAGCGGAGCTTGAGCACAATTCGTCGAAGCCGAGGTACAAAGTGATCTCGATATCGAACCAGCTTGTAAAGGCTCTTGAATGTTGAATACTAGCACTTCGCGAACAGCTGGAAAATAGAAAAATGGCAATGCAAGGTCTGTGGTTACCGGTCTGTGCCCAGTAAGGGCGCCAACCATAACTTCTTGCAGGAAGGGAAACGGAGGAGCATTGTGAAAAGGACGCTGACGCATAACTGCCTTTTCCAAGATATCTTGCAGCAGCTCATCATGATCATGAGCCAGCCAAAGTGTTTCCAAGCGACTCACAAGAGTTAGCAACAGGCCCACCCAAGCCACAGCACATCGCCCGTAAAGGTACTTCCTCCATCTGGCCTTCTTCCCCCTCGTTTTGAATGTATCGTTCAGTATTCTATCCACCAAAGCGGAGTCTATACCACGACTGTTTTGCAATTTATGATGCCCGTTCCGAATTTCGCAATAGTAGCCAAGTCCAAATCTTATATGGCGTACGTGGCTCGCTAGATGCGGGTGTCTGCAAAGGTTCTGGACCATCAATGGTGTGCTTCTCCGTGGACTAAGTGTGATTGATGCATAGAGTAGAGGCTGAAAGATTTTCTGGAATCCCCGAGAACATTCGCTTAAAGCACGCTTCGTCGGCAGGTTGTGTATGTATTCCCCTGTCAGTAGGAGCAGCTCAGTAGGCAGACGGTCCATCTTGTTTTGAATTTCCTGTAAGACAAACCCTCTCCCAGAAGTGTGACGGACAAGACAGCAAAGATATCGGGAAGCTCAGTCAAAGATCGCTGGAATAGGGAGTCGTCTTTTGTTTAAAAGCAGTTTTAGGTGATGAATATGCTCAATAGTACAGGCTAGGCAACAAGAGCATCAGTTATAACATAAGCAGGTAGAAGTGAGTCAAAATGTGCTAATGTCGTAGGAATGATGCCAACAATGAACTACTGAGTCACAAGGACAGCGTAAAAGGATCAGAGTAAGGACAGCATCCCATTACCCTGTTATCAAGGCTTCATTGCTGGCCTGCTGTCAACCTTCATCTCATTAGGGCTACGAACGATATATTTCATGAAGATAGCCCCGTCAACCAATACCATGACCTGAAACTAAAATAGATGACTCTCAAAGGATATGGATGCTTGCATGCAATAACTAGGTGCTACAAAGATGAAGTAATATGAATGGAGTCAGCATGAACTATGACACTTGACTGCTCATATTCTTCATCGTCCTATTCTAGACTCTCTTCTACCCGCCTTCTCAAATTTAAATCACCGCTCTGAGACGTTCTGAGGGCAAGAGAGTATATTTTAACATACCACCTTGATTGAAGAATCAAACAGTAAAACCTTAGTCTCCTACACCATGCTCCCCGTCCCGGACCATCTGCATGATGCACCCGGACACTGTAAGCCAAAAGCAAACCAGGTGTCAAATCTTATATTGCAAGCCCAGTGTCTACAAGGCAGATGCTAGTCTCTGCTATTTACACCGTCGTCTCCCAACACATCATATAAATACCTTTACCTGAAACCTACGTTCTTGAGACATTCATATCCAGGTTCTCCTCTCCACATTCAACATTTTGATACATTTAGTAATACCAACATAGCTATTAATCTCAACAAACACGGAGTCTTGGGCAGTACTGCATGGTAACCTACCGTGCACTAATAAGTTTCCAAGGGACATGTATATGATTCTAGGATCGAGATACGTGTACAAGGTCTGTTGTTTTAACGGTATACTTTGAAGGTCAAGTTATGCAAGGGGTAAGCTGTAGGTTATGCCATGGGCAATGGAGTAATAGCTGTTTTCATTATCAAAGTTAATTTACTCAGCTGCATCATATGTGGATCGAAGCCAGTACTTTCCATATATGATGATCTCACCCTGTACGGCTATCGGATAGTACTACATGATATCGATATGCATTGTCAAGAAGCGCTTCTATCCGAATGACACGTACTAGGCTACTGCGTCGAGGACCAACGCTGAATAGGAGTCATCATATGCTGTGCAACCAAAGACAGCTGTATCATTGCCGCGATAAAGCCCTAACTTAGGTGATGGTGGTGTTTGGCGTTGGGATCCAATAAAAGGTGCTTTCTAGGCTCGATCAGGATCGCTCCTTGCGTTGCTAATACTAACGTATTTTTCCATCTACGCTCATATATAGTTAAGGTATATTGTTTTTATGGACACAATATATGCTAGAATCCTTGCGAGTTATGATTACTCCACTTAATACACGTAACGGAAGTCCTTGTTCTGTTTGTCAGTCAACCCACCCCATGCCTTCTCGTCCGTGACCACCCCCTGTCCTTCTTGGGTTGACTGGGCGCGATCCCTCCGCTTGTTCTCCCAGACATAGTACCCGAATAGAACGACAGCCAATATTCCCGCGGCGGCCTGAGTCACCAGGACTGCAATCTTAGCTGGTCGGTATTCGGGGGCATCCCTTGCCTGGAAAGTTTGTGGCCCAATGATATTTCCAACACAGAAGAAGCCGGCCACCACAGCACTTGTAAATGCGCGCTTTGTGTATCCTGCGCAATTGGCGGCGATCCAATGGTATATCACTGGTGTCGGAGCAACGATTGAATTGACTAGGTAGATTCCAATCAATATTCCGGCTCGATTGCTCTTGGGAAGGAAAGACATGAGTCCGCCGCCGATAATTCCTGGAATACTGCAGATAAAGACCCATGCCCATCGATTGGAGGCCTTGCGGACGCCAATACCCACTAAGACAGTAAAGAAGATACTGACAATCCCTGAAGGGGTATTTAGAAGGGCCGAAATAGGTCCGCCAAAGCCAAAACCGGCTATAAGCGTAGACGAATACACCACGACCACCCCGCTGGAAACGGCTTGCTAGATGCAGGTTAGCCCTCCTTCTTCCTCGTAGACTAGGAATCTTCCTTTGCAGACCACCCTTGGAAGAGGGCTAGCAGGTAGGGAATGAACTTACCAAGGCGAGCATCAACGCCCACAGCCACACCTGAGGATCAAGAGCTGCTTCCAGCAACTGCTTAGGATCGAACTTGCCATTACGAATGCCGGTCTGATTCACACGAACGTGCTGAAGTAGCGTCACCTTTTGGTCGTCTGATAACCACTTCGCCTGCATGGGGGTATCTGGAAGGAAAAGTAAGGTGGCTAGTCCTACAGCAACAGTTATCAACCCCATGACAAGGAACATGATACGCCAGCCGGCGAATGCATGGTGGACATGTTGGAAGCCAAAGGAGATCACTCCGCCGATGATTTGGGCTACTCCGAGGCCTAAAAACCAAAATGTAAATCGTGGAGCCTGTTCGGACTTTGTATAGTATTGACCGCTTATAATCATCAAGGATGGCGCTACCGGGGCTTCAAAAATCCCAAGGAATATACGCGCGACAAGTAGAGTCGTATAGTTCTTTGCACCGGCCGCCGCCGCCGCTGCAACACCCCAGAGCATGACATTGATGCTCAACCATTTTGCCGGGGGGACCTTCTGGAGAAGATATGCTAATATTCCGATGAGCCTTCCTGCTCGTATGAGGGATAATGAGACGCTTACTATTCGGAACTTCAGCAACCAAGGATGCAATGAAAAAGGCACTTGCGCCATTGCTAAAATTGTTTCCCTTCAGGTCCAGGTCTGTTTTCATTCCCATGACCCCTGCGTACTTTGGAGCCGGGGATTAGCGAGGTCGGGATAAGGGTTCGTGATACTGACATTATACATCACTTTATCGATGAATTGTAGGAAATAGCAACAAAACATGAAGGGTAAAATGCGCCGATCAACTTTATGACGGATTGCGACCAGGTCCAAGTCCGTGTACTGGACATTGGCATGTTTGTCCAAGAAATTCCAGGCATCGTCCACTGCTTGAGAAGATGTAGCTTGTGTGCGTATTGCATCCACGGCTGGTTGGTCGCCATTTGCGTCCGTCATCTTTCTCTCAATCATTCTGGTGAAGGATTTCAAACAAGGTGAAAATACATACTGCTGCTGGTGATGAAGAACAAATGAAGAAGGGACAGAATCCTACAACGTGGCCGAATAAGAATAAAACTCAGGAATGTAAAACGGAGCGAGAGCAAAAGAGGGGTCCAAAACATATAACGAAAGAGGCAGAGATTGACTTTCAGGCCAGGTCGATCGATTGTTATGACCTTCCAAGGCAAATGTAAATGTAACGTCCTTCCGGAGTCTCAAAGTTAAAAGGGTCGGTCGTATTTCCCATTTATTATTTGTGCATGGTTGGCATCCTATTTCAACCATCCATGATCCTGGTGTCGCGGTCACAATGAAGTCTAGACTTGCACTTGTTATGAATGTCCGAATGTACAAGTCATGATGTTGCAACCACCGTGACCCGTATAAATAAATGTTAGGCCACCCACACCGGGATTTCCAGGACTCGTGGCAATGGGTTGCATTCTCCAAAGCCTTAGATTCGTGGATATTGGACTGTCGGTCTTAAAGCCATTGTAACTAAATCCCTTGGCAAAATTACTCGTGCCTTGAATGGCTAAAATTCTCATCCTGATAGCAGATCGTCTTTACCCCAGCCGAACTTTTTGTGCACCCTGTAAGGGAAACCGAATACGAGGTTGTCGATCACCGCACGTAGGATTCTCTTGATGGTTCGGTGGCAATAGTGGCTATTGTACTCATCCATGTGATATCCCAAATGCTCGGTCGAAGTCACTATCCATGTGGTTGTATGTACTAATAATCATCATGTTGTCGCACCGGCGGCTCAACGACTGATCTACATTTTCTGAAGCCGATCTCTGCCAATTCAACTCTTAATAACACTTCAAGACTCATTTCCATGGTATGTTCAGGAACATATGCTGGCTTCCTCACACTGTGACAATACATTGATGTTTAGTATGCCTCCTGGTGCAAACTTTGGGTATGTTATCGAGCAGGCATGTTAGATCAAGATTTGTACGGTAGACTAGGGATCTACATCAAGGTCTTGTAATGGGTCGTCCTCCTTAAATTGCCCTTATCTTCATCTCTATAATGTAGATCATGTACACTAGCATCTGTTTAAGATATACTTACAAGGCCCTTTATCACTATACACTAAAACGATAGCATCGCGGAGCTCCGATATAAGCCCTAACCTCCCTTTTTCTAGGTTCAGTCTTTATTATCGATTAACATATTAAGCACCATCTACATTGGAAATTATCAGTTTTTAATCAGACTAAATTGGAAAAAAACAGAATTTAATATCTAGATTCAACCGCTGTCCACTCAACTTTCTTAATGCACGTTCTGAATGAGTCGATGCTGTCCGCATTTCATCATGTCACATCACAACTTGCATATAAGTAGTATTCATCTCTTTCCTTTCTATTGCTTTTTTTTTAGAAGATAACATTTGATCGTGTCTTAGTAGAGATTCTTCCATGAATACTAGATTCACAAAGTACCGATCTTCCCAGCTGGCACTCGTGTGATAATCACGCATTCAAATTATACGCTTTACTGTAGAGATCTTCATCTCCATAATCAACTCCACTTTGTCTCATAGCTTGAGTAATCCTGCTTTGTAAACCATGTTGAGCAATCCAGATACTCTCCACACGATAGGCTATCGATGTCGTGATCGCAACCTCAATTTCACTCATCCGCAAACCCATTTGTCATCACAAGATAGCGGACATGTATATAGACCACGATAATAATGTCTTCAACTCCGCGGACTAATACCCCGAACTTATCTCTCATACATTACTATCCAGCCCATAACCAGAAACCCAGTATAGAAAACCATGCCTGAGAAAACACTACATCTGACCGCGTTCATGCGGCCGGTCAGCTTACATACCGGCGCATGGCGATACCCCGGCGCCTATCCAGACGCCAACTTCAATCTCACCCATTTGAAATCCTTCATCAAGAAGCTAGAAGATGCCAAATTCGATGCCTTCTTCATGGCCGATCACCTTGCCGTATTGAACATGCCGGTCGAGGCGCTGAAACGCAGCCACACCGTGACATCCTTCGAGCCATTCACTCTACTCTCGGCGCTATCTGTTGTAACAGAGAAGATTGGACTCGCGGCGACGGCATCCACGACATACGATGAGCCCTACCATATCGCGCGACGGTTCGCCTCGCTGGATCATCTCAGCAGCGGCCGCGCGGCTTGGAATATTGTCACCACTGGTAATCCGGAGTCGGCGAAGAACTTTGGATTAGATACACATGTGGAACACGCTGACCGCTATAAGCGGGCTCGGGAGTTCTACGACGTTGTTACCGGGCTATGGGATAGTTTTGCCGATGATGCCTTCATCCGCGATCAAGAGACCGGTGTCTACTTTGATCCGGAGAAGTTGCATGTTCTCGACCACAAGGGTGACGATCTGAAAGTCAGGGGACCGCTGAACATCGCGCGGCCAGTTCAAGGTTGGCCAGTGATCGTTCAAGCGGGACAGTCCGAGCCAGGAAAACAGTTAGCAGCCGAAACGGCTGAAGCGGTTTTCTGCTCACCGAGGGACTTGGAGTCTGCAAAGGCGCTGTATGCGGACATCAAGGGTCGTGCAGTGGCAGCTGGTCGGGATCGTAACCATATCAAGATCCTACCGGCCGCCTTCATCGTTGTTGGCGACAGTGTGGAAGAGGCCAGAGCCAAGCGCCTCAAGCTTGATAGTCTAGTCCACTACGATAGCGCCATCGCCTCCTTATCCATTGCGCTCGGAACTGATGCATCTGGATTTGATCCAGATGGCCCACTACCGACGGATATCCCGGAGACTAATGCGAGCAAGACAGGTCGTGCTGGAGTCCTGAAGCTTGCCGAAGATGAGAAGTTGACCGTACGGCAGCTTGCACAGCGATATGGGGGCTACTCGGGGCTTGCCTTTGTTGGTACGCCTGAATCAATCGCGGAGGAAATGGGTGTCTGGCTGGATGAGGAAGGCGCTGATGGCTTCACTGTCGTATTCCCATTCCTTCCGCAGGGACTGGACGATGTTGTTCAACGCCTGGTACCTGAGTTGCAGCGTCGTGGTATTTTCCGTCAGGATTATGAAGGGACAACCTTGAGAGAGCACCTTGGTCTTCCACGTCCGAATAATCGCTTCTTTTCGTGAGGTGTTTTAACCATATATAAATAGAGCCGCCGGGGATACAGCATCTGGATGATGCAGTAGTTAGATCATGAGTACACGTGTCTGTGATTTTTATACTTTATCTGGCAACTTCTGCAAAATCAGAGATCTTATTTGAAATTATACAGCACCTTGCTTATGACACGATAGAATAAGCTATGTTGTTCTTTTACTGTTCCATAAATTCTGACTATTAAGTCACCTAAAACCCTGCAGACTTACCAAAAGGGCAGTACTGCTGCTTAGGGGCATGAAAGATATACAACAACTACTTGATGATATTAACAGTAGCATACATACTGACATCATGTTGTTCAGTGTTTGCCGCTCATAAGGCAGCCCTGCCTAAAATCAGAAGAGTGAATGATATCACAGGCGAACCCTCAGGTGCAGGACAAAGACCATAGGTTCGTTTTTCATAGAATCCTCTTCATTCATTCACTGTCTCTAGTGTGCTCCACAGACTTGGGGTTCTCCTACTTACCATCTCCTGCTCGCGCACCTTCCTTCTATCTACTACCATGAGTTCGCGATCTCTACCTCGCAGCATGGGATCAAAGAGATCTCACAGAAGGTCTGGGTAAGTCACAGAACCTAATGTACTGAAAACGCATTCATATACAATCTCTCTTTCTTCATTCTTAGAAGTCTCTCCTCTAACCCGACTCTCTTATTCTATCTATATCTCACTCTCTTTACATTTTCATCACTAGACGTGTCATCCACTATGTTGCCTTTACAGTTTATTACTATCATCATAGCTTTCTTCTTTGGTCTGACTCTTCGCAGACTCTATAACGCCGCCATGGGGAAAAGGGCAAACGAAGCTTCCAAGAAGCGCCCCATTCCTTCCCCTGGTGGCGAACTTCGTGGCTCCAACAAGGCCAAGTACGAGCGCAACGAGGAAAATGACAGCGAGATCTTCACCATGGATGGCTTCTCAACCGACCCAACGTTGAGGGCTCGACATGTGGCCGCTAAGCAAGCTTCTTTTGACGAGCCCTTCGAGCTGTCCGAAGGCGATTTTACTTTGACCCATGCGATCAGAGCTCGCGTTGATGCGGTAAAAACTAACCTCCCATATCCAAATCTGTATCCTTCTCTGATCGACCTCCTAGAGCCCCCCAACTGCGGAAAGAGAAACCGTTGCAGGAGCTCCACTCTCTAATGACACCATCGCAGACATACTTAAGAAGGTTAAGCCAGACTGTTACAAGGCCCAGGCATGGGTCAAGGCGCATGAAGTCAGCAAGGCGGCCATGGAGCGAGTTAAGACGAAGTCGGAGAATCCCGACAACCTCAAAAAGAAGTCAGTACGTGAGTTGCATAGTAGAGCTCGTCAGGCAGACGCCCAATTCGAAGCACCCAGATATCAGGCAACGGCCCCGGCTCCGAACTTGCAGGCTCCTGAGGATCGTACCGTCGAAGAAGAACTGGAGGATGCGAGGGTGGTGTACAACAGGGTTAGCCTGGCGCACGATAGACTCTTGAAGACCATCGCCGACATCGAGGACTTTAGAAAGACTCTATCGTAGACCTCTCCTCCATTTATTCTTCACGGCCGGCTGTGGTATGCTGGCATTGCTTTCTTTGACCCGGCTAGACCGAGAGTCCCCTAACTTAGTTTGGCATTCGCAGCGCGACATGTAACAGACCGGCAGGCATACATCATTGTCTTCTTGCTTGTCTTTCTCCCCTGTAAACGAGACATGATGAATGAACGCTACCGTTGTTATTGCTCAGAGTGAAACCGTTCCAAATGAGACTGTACCATATAGTCTAGCTTCACCAATCGCAGAATTCTCTTCTTCAATATTTATGCTTTCTTGTTCCTGTTGGCTCCTTTTACTTTGTCCGGGCTTTCTAGTTTATCTACTAGCGGTCGATATGGTGACGCGAGAACATGCTCCGGCGCCCGTTGTGCAGGTTCCTCGCGTCTAGGCTCCCCGGAAGACGGACGTCGTCGTTGGTCCTCATGCATCCTGTCCAGCGGCTCGCCCACGATCTGGTACTTGTTCCAGTTGATCGGTGGCATGCGTACTACATTCTGCGGTGTAGGTAAGGTCCCCAGACCCGACGCGCCTCCTTCCTTCGAAGCCCCTATCTCATCACCCTCGTCCTCCTCGTCATGCGTGAAATTCACGAAACCCCCCGGGTCTTTCGCCGTCAGATTCCCCGCCGCCAGTTCGCGCGCAAACCCCTCGGGATCGGCTGCCGCCGCTTGCTTCAGCCTCTCCAGTGTCCGTATATCGCGCAGACTTTGCTGCTTCTGAAGCTGTAGAATCGAGATGGTGGACCGCAACGCGATCGCATCGGGGTTCTCGCTTTCCGAGATCGGCACGGCAACAGGCTCCGGCGCGAAGACGGCCGGTGTCGTAGGAAGCGAGGCGGTTGCGCCGCCAGCGCGACTTGTTGGCGACGGTGACGAGGCCGGGGGGACAATGGGATGTGATAGCGCGCCGTTGGACGTGGAGGCGTTATGGACTGGGGCAAGATGAGCGAAGACCGGAGTTACTGGGGAATAAGGCGGGCGCGGTGGAGTCCCTGGCCGATCATTCGGATTGCTTTCATTGTCCTGAGTGGGCTGCATGGTGCCTGAATTGTCCATATCGAATCTGACTGTCGGACACTAAGATTAGGGTTTTTCTGTTTTATTTTCTGGAATGGTGATGACGATCGCGTGGCCGAGTTGTTGTTGTGGCGGTGGTGGATGATCGATCGATTGATTGATTGATGTTGTTTATGCTCATCGGCTGATGACGTCTTAAATGCACACTTTATTGCTTCTCTTGGTCCAAACTCGACCCCTCAACTTTCCAGGTACACATTTCGATGTGATGCGATAAACCTTCTATTATTGTAAGGCAACAGTTATTTTTAGTAATTACTATGGTAATTACGAACCTACAGGTATATTCTATGAAATTCTATTCAAAATAAAAATATCACTTAGTTATAGTTGAGACTCATAGTATCATGAACATTTTTGAAACTACAGATAATGGGATCTATTCACTAGGACATTTAAACAGAAATGGAGTGCTCTACAGTAGTACCTTTTTTATTTATATAAAAAAAAATAACAAAACTATATCAGGTAATTAATTTGACTCTTGAAAAAATGGCCTGATTTGTGGCCTGATCGCTGCCTTTAAACCTCTCACCGCCCAAAAAAAGGAAGAAGAAAAAAAAAAAGATCTCTCCCAAACCTAATCAGGTCGACAATCTCTCCGTCCTCCCCTCTTCCCAATCTCCTCACATTACGGATAATATGAAGCGCAAGACTGAAGGAAGAGAGTCGCTGGGTGGCAGTGGCCAGCCGGATTCCAAGAGACGGGCATTGACGAGCGAAGAAGCCGCCGCGCGCTTCCGCGATGGCCTATTTGAACCCTCGGAGCAGCAGAAGTATACCGAGCAATACGCCGAGTCCGCACCGTATGTCGACACCTGAGTTCTCACAACCACACATCGGAGAAAAAGATCCACATGTGTAGAATGCTGATTATCAATCAAGGTACAAGCATGGAGTCATCCATCCCCTCATCGAGCCTTCCTTGCTGCGCGCGGTCCGCAACGAAATCCAAGAGCACTTGGACTTCACCGAGAAAGAGACGGATATCTACAAGATTTTCCAGTCGGGAGATCTGGCGAACCTGGATGGGCTGGATGATACATCCCTCTCGCGACTCCCCTCCCTGCTGAAGCTTCGTGATGCCATGTACTCCGCCCGTTTTCGTGAGTACCTGTCGTCCGTGACTGGCTCGGGCAAGCTGAGTGGTCGCAAGACCGATATGGCTATCAACATTTACAACGAGGGATGTCATCTTCTATGCCATGACGATGTCATTGGAAGCAGACGTGTCAGCTACATCTTGTATCTGACTGATCCGGACACCCCCTGGCAGGCGGAATGGGGTGGTGCACTGCGCCTGTACCCCACGACCACGAAGAAGGATGCACAGGGTGAGGACGTCAAGATCCCCAGCCCCGACTTCAGTCTCAGCATTCCGCCCGCCTTCAACCAGTTGAGCTTCTTCACCGTCCAGCCTGGTGAGAGTTTCCATGACGTCGAAGAGGTTTATCATTACAAAGAGGGCGAGGATAGGTCGAAGAAGCGGGTGCGCATGGCCATCAGCGGATGGTTCCATATTCCCCAGAAGGGAGAAGATGGCTATGAGGAGGGCCTAGAGGAGAAGCTTGCCGAGCGGAGTAGTCTCGCTCAGCTTCAGGGACGCGGTGACATCTACGACCTCCCCCAGCCTAAGACGGTCGTATGCGAGGATGAGTCGCAGGAGGTGGAGGGCAAGGGCAAAGGCAAAGTGGAGGAGCAACCCAACGATACCGAATTTACCGAGGCCGATCTCAATTTCTTGATCCAGTACATCGCACCATCCTACCTCACCCCAGACATCGCGGAGGAGATGTCGGAGACCTTCACCAACGAGTCATCGCTCAACTTGGAACAATTCTTGTCGGAGAAATTCTCTGCCCGCGTGCGGGAATATATCGAGGAGCAGGAGAAAAAGACGCTTCCCCAATCATCAGATGAGATCCAGGCCCAGACCGGATGGACTGTCGCCCGTCCTCCCCACAAGCAGCGTTACATGTTCCTACAGCATTCGACAGCTGCACAGGACGAGAAGAGCCCCCTTCAGGAGTTGCTCAACGACGTCTTTCCCTCCCCCGCATTCCGCAAATGGCTCACCGCCATTACCGGTGCAGAACGCCTCACAAGCTACGACTTTATGGCACGCCGCTTCCGCCGCGGACAAGACTACACTCTGGCTAGCGGCTACGATGGCGAAGAGCCTCGGTTGGAGTTCACGCTGTCCCTGACCCCTACACCAGGGTGGGAGAAGGAGGCTGGCGAGGAAGAGGAGGAGGATGATGATGATGATGAAGAGGGTGAGAACGGCGAGTCCGAGAAGAAGCCGAAGGCCGAGCCCAAGGAGAAGGAGCCTAAGAGTGACGCTGAGGAACCCGCCGTGGGTGGTTATGAGATCTACATGGCTGGGGACGACGAAGAGGAGGGCGATGCAGCCATCTACCGCTCTGCTGCCGCGGACGAAGATGACGGCATCCTATTCAGCACTGCTGCCGGCTGGAACCGACTGAGCATTGTCCTGCGCGATAGTGGCACCCTCAAGTTCGTTAAGTACGTCAGCGCTGCCGCCAAGGGCGACCGGTGGGATATCACCGGTGAGATGGGTGTGGAGTTCAATGACGATGACGAAGACGAGGATGAAGACGACGAGATGGAAGCTGACGAGGAATAAAATGTTTTCTTTTGGCTAATTTCATTTGTCCGTTTGTATATACAATGACTTTTACTATTTAACGAATCAAGCATTGGGCACCACCCAAATGACAAAAATAGATAGAATGTTTCACTCCTGTAGTATTCAGATTATTGCTGCCTGCTATGGAATGACATTCCTAGTCAGTTAATGACGATTTCCAGTGGCGATATCTGTATCCCTAACTACTACTAGTAGTAGTAGAGAACAGAAACAGGCGCTTAAGTGGCTTAGCCAACGGGCTACCTACCTGAATGCACACAGCCGCAATGATAAACCATATGCATCTCTCCAACTTAATTGACGAGCAGGCGGCAACATATCCTCCTTCCTGTCGTACATGCCGAATTCATTACATGCTTAGGCTGTTTTTACAATAAACCCTATCCAGCATCCAAGTCATTACAATCCTAACCTGTAAGTTACACGGCGAACCGGAGATGTGAAACACCCCACTTAACCCTAATTGAGCTGTGTATCAATGGACACAAAGTATAATCGGGCGATTCTACAATGCATTGAGTTCAGCTTAAGTCGGAGAGAAACTTTACAGTGTGGAGTTTTGTTGGCCCTTTCATTTACAAAGTTATGAACAGCTGGACTTCGAGCCTAAATGCATACGCACCAAGGCTCATTAACGACACCCATTCTTCAACCAAAGACAGTCACCACGTACCCCCCCAGCATCATACTTGAAGAAATTTTAGCTCTTGTCATGATATTACCTTATTATATCATAAAATAAAATGTCCTTCCAACACCCAACGGTTGTGTAGTGTAATGGTTAGCACCCAGGATTCTGATTCCTGTAATCCCGGTTCGATCCCGGGCACGACCTCATATTCTCTTTTTGCTCTTGAACGATTGATCTGGGTGGTCAGTTCTATGGATATGTTTTTTTTCTTACCTATCATTATTTAACACGGTTATTGGGGTATCATACCGTTTCTTTGCTGTGTATGCTTACCATCTAATTCAGTCCAAAGGGGATTCTTTCCCTGTTTACTATACAGTAGAGGTCATTAACATAACCAGGCCTTGCTTAACCAGCATATCAGATGGGTTCAGAAATTCAGTGTTGCTTTACTGACAGTTTATCGGCTGCAAATTTGATACATGCTCACATCTCTCTAGGTTTACAGCTGAATCCTACGCATCTTATGTTAGTGAGGTTTAGCTAGAGCGAAGATACACGAATTCTGGACATTATGGTAGGTTGAATGTTGAATGATTCTTTGCTCGTGGCCAGGCGGCATGGTTTCAGTTCTAGGATTTTTGCTGCTGGGTTAACTGGCTATCGTCAGCTATATACTTGGGGGTTATCAGTTGTAGATGTTGCTTTGAAGGCTTGATCGTAGCATCTGTCTCTTGGGGTGTATTATAGGATAGAGAGGTCGTTGGTAGGGTTGCAGTATTGTGAGGTGCCATGTCATTGGCATAGATAGGACTGGGTGGGTTCCTGGCTTGTAGAAATCTGCATTCCAACTCTGCGGAGAAGAGAAGGTGCCGGAGGAATTCAATGAGGGATGATTAAAAATTGTTTTGTCTCTTTGGTGAGAGTACAAATTCGTAGAAGGGAGGATAAAGACCAAAAAAAGGTCGTGCCCGGGATCGAACCGGGATTACAGGAATCAGAATCCTGGGTGCTAACCATTACACTACACAACCGCTGGTTGTTGAAAAGTTTGCAGCTAATATGTTACACAAGGTAAAACCAAAAATAATATCAACAAACCAACAGTGTTCAGATCAAGTCATAGAGAAAAACATTTTTTTAAAAAAAAAAAAAATGTATTTGGTATAGCTAAGTCATAAACCAGGTAGATGTGTCTAACATAAACAAGCTTTACTTTAGTCAACAAAGCTTTCCAGATGTGTGTAAGGCTTTCCTGTATGTTTCCGTTGATTGGTCCGGACCCAGCCCAAAATATATACATGATGTATCGGTCAACTCATTATCACCAGCTCAGGGCCCCAATGTCCGAGCGGATCAAGTGATCAGCGAGCAAGATGTATACATCCAAACCCAGATTATCTGTCGATACAAATTCCACGTTGCACTGTGCCCCCCCCAAGTTGGATAATTTAACCAAAGACTAGCAGCTATGAAATCTCCAACAGACTAAGGAGTAGGCTGCATCTGTGAGTCAGAATCTTTTACACTGTCAAGAGGACAAATATAAAGCGATGGCTACGCTTTATACCCCCATGGCAACACAATAACATGGGAATATTGCCCGGATGGTACGAAGCACGGACAGGAGGACCCGTCGAGGCTACTCTAACCATAAACCATAAAACAACCAGATTGCAGTTAATGACTTGACGAATATCCATACCGAGATGCCACTGACTGACGCATCTACCAACCTCAGCACCAGGGACAGGCGGCCAAGGCTGTTCATAGAGAAGGGCTCATTCCCCTGACAATCAAAGGTAAATACCGGGATATCCCACTAGAGCACGCCAGAGAGATGTAGCCAAGGTTGGTACGTACGTGGAATGTGAGGAATCACATAGTGGATGGGGGCACACTGACTCCGCGTGGCGTCCCGTTGGACAAGACGTCCAGATCCTCTCACTGACCACAAGCAGAAAGGTGTAACAGGGAGGCAAGCTCTAGAAGGCGGGAGTCCTTTAGCCACCGGACAGGGATAGCTCAGCCAGGTGAATTTCTGAGAGCTATCAGGTCGTCGTGTTCATCCGTATACGGTAGCGCCATAGAGCCTACAGATCTACCAAGCTAGACTTGGATATAGCTTTAATACCACGTCCCGGTCATGGCCCATAGATAAATAGCGCAGCCCCTAAGTGACGGTCAAAAGCTCCAGCCAGCCATATTAGTTTCCCATATAGGTCAGGATGAAGGGGTCATGGAAACGTTGGAAGATGCTCCAGTCATTAAAGCTGATAACATAACGGCCCACTTAGACGTAGACCGCAAGGTTTCATATTCACCACCTTAACATATTATCACACATAGATGATGTGCTGATAGTATACATGTTAATTGGCTGGACAAACATCTATACCTCTCACACAAGGACGGCTGCTAAGCGCCCTGGGCGGTCGATGATGCACAGGAGGAGCGTTTCACCTTTAACTTAGTTGTCGATTACAAGTTGGCCGTAACCGCCCTTTATCATTTTCCCCGTTGGTCAAAACAAAATAAAAATACCAGTGTCCTGGCCGATATGCCGATCACCTATCATGGATGACCGCTAGTGTATGTACAATATCTGCCCATGTAACATATTCATAGGAGACTGGGGATATAGAGAAGTCCGTTGTAGGGAGCTCTCTGCCCCCAATCGTATCATTCCATACCGTTGAGACCAGAAAAGACAGCATTCTGATATTGTGGAGCAGCGGTTACTGCATAATAGCAGTGCACTATTTACCAATTGTAACAAAACCGTCTTTGCATGGAACAATGACATGAACCATATCTCACCTTAATGTTGGCTCTAGGAATCAGAATTGTTGCCGCTGCAAACAACAACAGGTTGTGTAGTGTAATGGTTAGCACCCAGGATTCTGATTCCTGTAATCCCGGTTCGATCCCGGGCACGACCTCTTAATTTTTCTTTTTGCTTCACCACCGGGGTCATAGATTTAGACTCATAGAACTAGAAATTCCAAAAGCCACAGCAACAGCTGGTTGTGTAGTGTAATGGTTAGCACCCAGGATTCTGATTCCTGTAATCCCGGTTCGATCCCGGGCACGACCTCATATTCTCTTTTTGCGATCCATTTAACATGGCCCAGTGTCAGTATAGGGAGGTGTTCATGCATGACCAGACCAAGACCTGTTGTCAGGGCCACCCTGATTTTAATCTTTTTTTCCCTTCTCCAGTTTTCCTTCCGGGGTGTCCAATCCCGCCAAACCTTCATCCCGTCGCCTCAGTAGTGGAAAAACCGAAAGTCAGCATCTGTGAATGCTTTACATGACAGGGAGCAAAGCGCTAACGGAGTATTTATCGCAACTAGAGACGCAGGCTCAGCACGACTCCAAGCTTGCCAAATCCTGACCACCTATCTCCGTGTTATTCCATGTGCAAGTCTTAAAGGTGGACCTATACCAAGAGAGGCAGGTCGTTGATGCAGCACGATTCATCACCTTATTAAAGTAGATGACAAGGCATTAGCGGTATCCAATTAGCGTGTCAGGAACATGGCGCTAGACAGGGGACTTTGGCCCCCCTCCCCTGGGCACGGAGGGAAGAACAGACTTTGCTCTCATCGCTCATCCCGGAGAATCGATGTTTGGGATATTAACTCGTCCCGATATCCCTGTCTTGTCACACACATAAGGTCTGCAGCCTCGCAACGGACTTCACAGTGTGATTGTTTAGCCAATTGTAGTTTCGCTCAGATGAAATTGATCCCGATGAAATCCCACCCCGCTTAAAGCCGTCAAGGTCGAGACTTTTCCCCTCATCGGCGTTATTGTTGCTCTATCATCGTAATCGGGTCCGAGAGTGCCACAGGGGGGTCACTAAGGAAAAAAGAGAACCGCCTGAAATTTGAGGCACGCCTCATGTGGGTCATTTGCATGCGATATCTGTCCTCGTTTGGCGATCTATTTCTATCCCACCCAGGACTAATTTCAACGGTCCATCGATAACAAATGGGAAAAAGGTACTTGAGGAGCACGCGGGAAAGACGATAAAGGGAGGGGGGGGAATTATTGTTGCACAGGCAACACGGGCCTTCCTCCGGCATGATGGGTGATGGCGCCGTGTCACTCTGACATGCTTGCCCAATTACTTTCTGATTCGGGGTTACAGGACAGATTTTCGAGGCGAAGATAGTGCAGGAATTAGCCCAGGTTTTGGTACCCATTGTAGTTAGTCGAATGGTACAAAAAACTCCGTGGGAATGTTCTGTACCTCGTACCACCATGGCGTTTGGGTGGGGATCTGATTTGGTGGGTTACTTGCGCTAACTGGGGGAGCCTTGTTGTCAGATCTGCAGTCCTTTAGCACTGGCCGCCCTTTTCTCGACCGCGTGGACTTTAATGACTTTTAGTGATGAAAAAAAAAAAAAAA